TGCTTGATGTTGTGCAGACATTTGTTGATCGAAACAGTCCTTCATTACCTTTAATATTTTAACATATGTTTCTTCATTGAGGGAAATGGATAAGAACAAGCATACAATTATCCTTGCATAGTGAGATATTTTCTAGTATAATAGTTACCAGTCTTCCAAGTACTGAAGAGCATAAGTAAATTATTTCTTTGTTATAGTTCTCAGTTTTCACCTATGAAAAGGAGGTATCGGTTTTATCCAATTAATAACTCAATAGTAGTCCATTCTTCAACTAAAATATCTGATCTAAACCATATTTATACATGCATTCAATACCTGCACAAGTCCAAGAATTACACACTAGTTCAGCACTTAAATACTGTCAGAAATCACTAATCTTAATTTTTACTAATGTTCTCTCCAGTAACCTATACAGTGGTGCCTCGACTTACGACTATAATCCATTCCAGAAGATGGACGTAACTCGAAATGGTTAAGTCAAAGCACCATTTCCCATAGGAATGCACTGGAATGCAATTAACCCGTTCCAGCTGAAGAAAAAACACACACACACACACACACACAAAATCGCTGCAAGACTCATTGGAAATGTGATTAATCCCTTCCGGCTGGGGGGGGGGAGAAGAGCAATCAAGCGTGCAAGACCCATTGGAAATGCACAGAAAACAAACGGAGCAGATCGGAAATGCACAGAGAACAAAGGGGGCAGGTTGGAATTGCAAGAAAAAAAAACAAAGGAAAAAGCAAGGGAAGCATGCAGGACCCATCGGAAATGGGGGGAAAAACCCCTAAAGCAACAAAAAAAAAACCCAAGGCCCATCGGTAAAGGGTAGGAAAGCCAACAAACAACCCGCCCCCCAAGATCCCATTGGGGAAAACCCCCAAAAGCAACCAACCCCCCAAGACTCATCACAGCACAGAAACATAACCCCCCAGCTCAAAACCACATTGCAAAAACACTGAGAACAGGCAGCCCAAAGCCTCCCTGCAAACACACACACGCTCATTCAGAAGCAGAAGGAGGCAGTCCGAAGCCTCCTCTGATTGCGCTTTCTCACTGCTGGGGCGAAAGAGTTACAAAGAAGCAGCCTTCTCGCCACCTACAGTTAGAAATTTGAATTTTCCACCTTTTTTCCCTGCCTTTTTCTGTTCGTAAGCGGAAGCCCTGGTCGTAAGTAGAAGCAAAATGTTGTAGCTGGAGCTGGTCATAACTCAAAATGGTCTTAAGTGGGGACGTACGTGGCACCACTGTACATGATTCAGTATTTAAGGCATTTCTGGACAAACAGAACTTGCTGTGTTGTGCTGGGAGGTTTCCAATTGTCTTAGATCTGTCTCTAAAATTGTATTGGTCCTGAACTGATACAATGTTTATTTAGGATAGTGATGCATATTTTAAGAAACCCACTTGGAAATTTCTGTTTTGTTCTGTAGTTTGTTGCAGTAAAACCAACAAAGAGTGTTGTGGATCTTAAAGGCTAGTTAGTTTTATTTGGCATAAGCTGTTGTGGTCTGCAGCCCTCTTCTCGAGATACATGGCATATAGTCTCAGTAGACCAACAGATGTTTTTTATACAAATAGGAAAGGGTGGTATGAGTAACGTACTAGAGATGCAAAAGGACTAACAAAATGATTGTTTTCAACTGTGGTTGTACACAGAGGTTGAACAGTTCCTGTGATATGACAAGTGCAGATCAGCTCAAGTGTAAGTCAGTTTATCAATCCTGGTATGTATTACTGCTTTCTTGTTGTTAGGTCTTAGCGACCACTGTTCACACCAAAGGAATGCATATCTGCACTTCTGGCTTCCAGAGAGCAGAAATCAACATGAACTGCATGCAGTTCAGTGGTTTGGCCTAGTTCAGCACAGCTCCCGTACAGCCATTCCACAGGTGCTGCACACTCTCCTCTCCCACCTCCTCAGCATGTTTGCCCATTCACCGATCACAGCACGTGCTTCCCTCCTCTGCCTCCTCTGGCAGCTGCCCACTCAGATGAGGAGGCGGGGCAGAAAGCCCACTGTGCTTTGAGTGGGCAAATTGAGATCTGTATCAAATTTCCATCTAATTATTCTCTTCATGCATGATGTTCCTTTGCCATAACATCCTGTAGTCCAGAGAATGGTTCAGTAATTTAAAAAAAATGTTTGGCATTCTGAGTTTAGAATCTTAATTCTAAAGTTTCTGAACTGTTTAAGTTTACTATGTGCTACAAATTCTTCTCATAACATCACAAAGGCAGTCACATAGCCATCACGCAATCCTAGGCTTTTATTTGTTTGTTTGTTTAGTAAAAAAAATCCAGGTGAAATTAGAAGCCTCAGACCAACATCAAGTATCAGGCCATGATACTTGAATTTTCCATTGCTCAGGGTCCAAAACAGCACCCAGATAGCAAATATAAAAACAAAACAGAACAGCAAAACTAAGTCTCAGCTCTAGGCTAACATCCCGGAAACTCTTTGCTTGTGGATTCATAGAATTACTGCCATTGAGCCGTAGACTGCAGGCAGGGCATCTGTCGTTCCTTAGCGATAGAAGCAGGCACCAGAGAATAATGTCTAGACATTAATTCATCACTGCCACTGCTTTTCAAAAGCTCAGTTTTTCCTGCTGCTATCCAGTTTTTCAAATATTTTAGTCATACAAAACCATGCTAAGTCACAATTATTAGCTTCCTGAGATCATCTCCAATGGGAACATTCTCCATTTACCCAAAAATATCTTACTGTGGGTATTTCTCAAAAAGGTTACAAATCAGAAGATTATGAATTGCACCTGTGTTGTCAAATCTGACTTGTGTTGTTAGTGAAATTAACACACTTAAGACTGAAATCCTACACATAGTTTTCTGGGCATAAGCCACTCTGAACAGAGTGGGCCTGTCTTCGGTGTCAACATGTCTCTGGTTATATGAACACCCTTATCTGGAATAAGTGCCCCGGCACTCAGTGTGGCATACATTTGAGTAGACATGAGTAGGATATTGTTGTATAATCAATTTTGCATCACTGAGTTCCTCTGATTCAGATTGCATTATTTTTATGGATCAGCTTTCTTAACACGAGTCTGGAGCTATTGGAAAGACTTAAGTACTTCTATATGTATACATTTTGTAAACAGTTAAATAAACTTATTACTTAATGACATCCATATACCCTTTTTTATATCACTGAAAGCCTTTAAAATCTATGCATGCTATTTTATACGCTAATGTGTATCAGAACATAAGCTTATGCTTGTCAGTTTGGTTTTGTATAGAACCAATTGACTTTTGACAGTATTTTTGCACTTTTTCTCTTTCTCGCTGTTTTTATAAAGTTTGTGAATCATTAATAATTGAAATATTTTTTTACACCTCACACTGCCTTTGTGTAAATACATGCTTTTTGCAATGTAAGAAAATGTTGACTAAAGCTTTGTTTTGTAAAAGATTATTCTTCGCATTCATATTATGCAATAAAACCCTTTTTTCATCCATTTGTCTTCCATGCTGAGCTTGTATTATTTGCTGCCTTGGCAATGTTGTGCTACAGCTGTCATCTGATTCAAGAAACGTATCAGTCACTAAAATATATTGAAACCCAAAAGCATGCATTTGACAGAAGTTGCACTCTCTACAACTATCAAGAAATAGGCATCTGTTTGGAAACCTTTTGGTGATTGTGTTTTCTGCTGAGCATGTGCTCTAGGTTCTGCTAAGAACTTGTTAATTTTTAATAGTCCACCATTCAGTATTCTATCTGGAAATGTGAAGAGTTCTGCCCCTGCTTTTTTGCAATAACTCTGAAGAGAAAGGTGGGAGAGGCACAGCGCTCAATAATTTTGAGTGCACAGTTTGTCTCTGCTGGCTCATTGCCCTGATGAGTACCAATGATGAGCAAACAGGACAGAGACAGAAAATTCAGCTCTATGTGGCCAGGTCAGCAGTTGCTTCCAGAGCAAGGAAACCAGAAGCCAAAGTATCCATATGCTGATGAGATTATTGAAGGCGGTATGGGTCAGCCAGCCAGATGCATGCTCTTAAAACATATACATGCACATCAGCTCAGTAGATTTGCATTGTACAGTTGAACAATGTGTGGTCTCATCAGCCTATTAAGGTGAATGAGTATGTAGATTAAGATACTGGCTAAAATCCAGCTGTTTAGTATGGTAGGTCACAACTAAAGTAGGTCCATTGCATGGTGATTCAATGGGCCTATTCTAGTTACAACTTACTATGCTAAGCAACAGGGTTTCCGTCATAATTCATAAAGTAGTACACAAATACTACAAATAAAATATATAGAGAGAAAAGGAGAGTGCCCAACAGTCTTTTAAATGAGTTTTTCAGCATTCATCTAGCTACTAACTGCATGCATATGATATATTGCATGCATATAATATAACATATATAGGCCCATTGAATCAGTGGAATTTGCAGTGGTATTGACTCACCAAATCCCCAAGCAATGGGCCTACTTTAGTTGTGACCTACCAACACTGCAAATGGACAGTTTCCTACCTAAACTTGGAGATCCCTAGTATTCCCTTATAAGCCTCTGAATACTAACCAGGCGCTACCCTATTTAGCTTCCGAAATGAGGCAAATATACGCCTATGTTTGTTGGTATGTAGTGCACATACATAGTACACACTGATGTAAGTAGTTCAATCATCCCTTGAGCTAAAGAAACCTGAAATTTTCCATTTGCAGTTTGTTTAGTATGTTGGTCAAACTAGGCTCTCTGGTTTGTTCCTATCCTAACAAGCCTGAGTTTGTTCCTCACTTATGACTCTTGTTTGCTGTGAGAGCAATATTTTGGATATACTGGTTTAGACCTTAAGCTTAAAAACCACACCAAGCAAGGTCCCCTTGATGGTTTAGCCACCCCCACTTGCAAAAATAGCCAAGAAGGCTATTAAGTAGCATGCACTGTTTGGGCTCACTTGTTCACAGTACGTTCGCCACGATGTAGTGTAATCACCATTAGAAATGGACAGCCAAAGATAAATAGTGTCAGGAACAAGGTTCTTTATAATTATGATGGCATAAAGTGCCAGAGAAACTCTCAAAGTCTATACCTTCATATGATACATTTTTGGAATCCAAAATGTGCATTACCATAATGAAGGGACACAAGCAAGCAGGCTCAAGCAATGTCGTCCCTGTTTAATTAATTACTTTGCATGGTTTAAATAAAAATTGGTCATTTCTCCACATGATTGATCAAAGACATTATCTGTGTGAAAGCATGGCATTTCCTTAGGGGCGAAAAAGGAAAGCATTCAGAAATTAATTCATAAAAGGCTCAAGATATTTCACATAAACCTCAGAGAATGCAAGAGGCAAGGCCTAAGTGCACCACATGTTTGTCATTCCAATTATTTTACAGAAAAGCTTTCATCCCGCGTCAATTTTCAAAGCACACCTGAAGTTTCCATAGCACAGCTTTTAAAGAAAGGTTGAAGGATTGCATAGATTCAAAGACTCAGTGGGCCTCTAATTCCTTTTTGATCTCTATAACGTATGGATGATCTTTCCCATGTGCTATCTCCATGATAGCGATTGCCTGCAAAAGAGGGAGAGAAAAAATACAATTGATTCACATAGCCTTGGTTTATGAAATGTTCTCGTCAGGGATTCCAAAGAGTCAGAAACCTCTGACTGGTTTTTGTCCCCTTAAACGTACCCAATTGAAAACAGCCCATTTGATTGTTAAGTATCAAACCGTATTATATACACAGCACCTTTGATCCTAAGAGATCTCCAAGCTCTTTTGATAGGTACAGACAAGCAAAAAGTTAAATGATATTGTATCTGACTTTCTGTTCCAGTCTTAATAGAAGGTAACTTTCACACAGGGATGCTCTAAGTTAGTTTGTATTCAAAAGTTTTATGACATGATCAGATCTGGGTGGCCAATCGCTTCCCATGTCATTCCTGTTACATCTGTTTCTGCCATCATCCTCTCCTGAGCCTTCTGCAGCCAATTTTTGCTCAAGATTATGACACAATGGTCAAGATACTCATCGAGAAAGTTCAAGTTCAACCAGCTACCTGTGTTGCCCCTAAATCACAGTTTTTTAGGGTTACTTTTATGTAGGTGCTGTGTTGCCTTCCTTGAGATTCATATTTTAAATGCCTGAGTTACACTATCGAAGTCATTGTTTCCAAGTGGCATCTAAGTAAGTTAACTTCAGACACAGTTGAGAAACGGATTGACGTTCCAACCTGAATCCATATGTTGAACCTTTGAAAGACTGCTGTCTGGGGGAATTCCAAGAGTTGGAATCCCCAAGAAGTAATTTTTAACGGACTGGGTCCTTTCAGCTAATGAAGCCACAAATAAGTAGGCAAAGTAAGATACTGTAAGATACTAAACTATTGTTGCCATCATAATGAAATGTGATGAAATGTGATATTTATTCTAAGGAGTTGTTTTTTATTGTGCCAGATCCCACAACAAGTGAGAAGGATATCTTTGTACACACATATTTTTCTTTGTTGTAGTCCTTGACTAGCACAGGGCCATGTAGAAATGTGTATTCTGTATGTTTACTATAAAATACTTCATTGTTTCTGACCAAAAGACCTTTATATACACAGAAGTGGCACCTCATCAACTATTTTATAATTCTTTGAGAATGTCACCATACATACAGAAAGCTTTGCATAACTGATATGGTAATTGCCGTTGTCCAAATGATCCCAAACTGATCCCAACTATAACAGATTCACTGAATCAGTGGGACATGTGAGTGCTAAAGTACCATTAAGCAGCTGATTTGGGGAATCTGTTCTAGCCACCTTGGGTCTGTTTACTGGATGAAAAGTTAGATATAGAATCATAGAATGGGAAGGGCCATTGAGTCAAATTCCTTGCTCATTGGAGGAATCCAAGTCAAAGTGTATCTGACAGGTGACAGTCTTAACTTTCTCTTGAATGCTCACCACCTCCTGACATACAAACAGAATGACTAAATACTCTACTTGGAACTATCAATTGCAATCAAGCTTATATATCTCAACATTTCAAAATAAGCTTTTTACAACACACTTTTCCACTTAAGAGGGCATGATACCTAATTTTATGGCTCAGTAACTAGTAACGAAAACACACAAAGCAAAAGGAAGGAGCAGAGAAACTATTTCCAAAAAAGACATACAAACAGAATGACTAAACACTCTACTTGGAACTATCAATTGCAATCAAGCTTATATATCTCAACATTTCAAAATAAGCTTTTTACAACACACTTTTCCACTTAAGAGGGCATGATACCTAATTTTATGGCTCAGTAACTAGTAACGAAAACACACAAAGCAAAAGGAAGGAGCAGAGAAACTATTTCCAAAAAGGTGTTACCCCCCCCCCCCTTCTCTGCAAGGATCTATATGAATATCTGCTCGGGAGTCACAAGTGAGCAGCAAGGTTGCTGGGAGTTCAGCAAATCCCCAGAAAAGATTTCAAATCAGATGAATGCTATCAGCTTCAGGAGGAATTTGACACAATCAACAGAACCATTACAATCTGGAGAACATGCAGCTCCGGCTTCCCACTGTATCACAAGCTGCACTACTCCCTCAAATGAAAATCAATGTTTCTTTGAAAAAAAAATGAGGCAATTGTGCATATTTGTTCCAGCTGCACTGAGTAGTTTTGTCCCTGCTGAGCTTAGAATATACTGCTCACCCGTTTCTCGAGTAAGAGAAATGCCTACTCTTGTTCATTTTTGCTTCAGTTTCCACCTAGCATTCCTTGCTATAATCCTGATGCCCTGCCACTAATGCATACAGATTGACTGGCACTGAGAGAAGTGTTCAGGACAGGTGTGGCTTACGAGGTGCCTCACACAGGAAATAAGAAAAAGGGGGATGAAACTCAAATCTCCCCACAGGCCTACCATCCCACTGCCTGCACCCTCAGCCCAACACACAGGGTTTTCCAGCCACAGGGGGAAAAATATTTTGATGACCATATGCACTAAAATTCAAGCTAGCTACTGAAATGCAATCTGCTTTCTGCCATATGCCAATTTCCACCCCAGCCAAGAACATTCAGTCTCTGAGCAGTTCTTGATTGTACACAAAACCAGGGAAACCGAGAGTGACTTTTCAGCGGGGGATCCTGTTGGGAAAACCATATATAAGGATTAAACCTAACTGCAGATTCCTTCCCTCTTCACTGACAGGGATTCAGCGCACCAGGCTCCGACAGTACAATCCCTAGATGTGGGGAGCAGAAATGCCTCAGTGTGCCCAAGCTGTGGCTTCTGTACAAATGGAACTGGAGGTTGTGGAACTTCACGGGGGTTGTATGCTGCGCAACAAAAACATTTACACAAGTGGAATGGACCTATGTTACTAGGTGGCGTATGTTACTGTGCTTTCTATTCAGCAAAAGCTCAGTAGGATACTCACCAAGGAACTCAGACCAAACCTGATTATTCTACAAGGAAAAGGGTTTATATACCTTTTTCAGAGCCTTAGTTCCAGCAGCTTTGTTTTCCAGGCCCAAGTAAAGTCTCCCTAGTTTCAGCCACATAGAGGCCACGTTGAGTGAAAATAAGGGGTAATGTTTACTGCAAAAAAAGACCACAACAAAGCAACAAAATGATTATATGCACACACTATTGTAGGGAAAGCACAAAAATATTTACAGTGGAAGGAGACATAAGGATATACTCAAAAACATTACCTATGTAATTTTTGTGATGCCAAAAATGATACGGACACATTATAAATTGTCTGCATGGAGTTGCAGTTTTCTAAGGCAAAGTGTAATGATATGCAATCCTTGATACACTCAGTGTATCCACAATACTCAATATACACAAGAGTACACATCATAAATGGTCTGCTGGACCTTAAGACAAATAGTTGGTGCAGAGTGTAGGGACATTATGGATCATATCTGCCTTGGGACTGCACAACCCTGTATCACAAGGGCCAAAAAGAAAGCTTATGTCTCTCCCATTTCATGCTCTTATTAGCATTAATTTCTGGTATTCCTGTGAAAAGGATCAACTGATGTCCGTTCAACACAATTGGAGCTTATGCAGAGCATTTGGAAAGGTGACAAGCCTACAGCCAGAGGAACCCATGTACTGGCCTACAATGTTGTACAGCTGGTATAAACCAGTTTAGAAGATTCAGCTCTGAGCCTGTTGAAAACCAGTCAAATCACCGGGGTGATAAATCAGATTCGAGCCCCAGGGAGTATGCCGTTGTGTTTTCCTGATCACCCACTCCCTGCCAGCTGATCTATGACTTCATGCTGGCATCTGATTCAAAGGGAGAGGCTCCTCTGCGCTCCCCAGCTGGCGAGGAAATTATGCCCTAAGATAACAATTTGTGGAGGAGCCTTCTGATTGGCTAGCACCCAAGAGTAGCATGCACACAATGCAAAGGCAGAATCCCAAGGCTTAAAATATGCTGACATTGGTGCATCTCCCTGCAAATGGTGCTTCCCAGGAAATGGCACTAGGCAATCTTGATAAGTGGCTGCAGACATTCTCTTTTTACAGCTGCAGCGCTCATAGCCTTAAAAAAACCTAAAATGACTCAAAGTTACCATAGAAAGGCTGCAAGAGGAAATTATAGTCTTTCCAAACTAGCCCTGGCAATGTTGCATTTGGGAATGATAATTCCCAGAATGTACTTGTCATGTTGGTTTAAGGATTCTGAATACCCCTCTCTAAAAGAGTAATGTTCCTAAGCTCTGATTTCAAGGCAATATATATAAGTATTCCAGAAATTATACACATTGTGCTCTTACTTCTACAGGTCATATCCTCTTTCTTCTGAGGCTTGCTACCAAAGAACACCAACACTTTACTGCCCTATGAAAGGAGAAGTCTTTGAGGAGATTTATTATTTGAAGCCCCACTGATGAAAAGAAGGGATTCAGAAAGTCAGATTTCATTCTCCTCTCCTTTGACAGAGATAGAAAACTAGAGAGGTTATGGATAACCCTGAGGAGACCATGTATTTATAAAGAAAGAGATGCAAGACAGTTGAGAAAGGAAACCCTATTCTAGTAAATTCATCAAATACATACCACATACAGTTTGTTTGGTTTTACAGGAAGGCACTGAACTGGAAACCCCATGATGTGCAACTGATACCTATATTTAATGGTGGCAAACCTCAGAAGTCAAAGTCAAAATCATCTGACTGACTGGTTCCTCATAGCGTTTTATTGTTGTTTTTTACTCATTAAGTCATGTGCAACTCTTCATGACCCCATGAACCAGAGCATGCCAGACCCTCCTAACTTCCACTGCGTCCTGGAGTTGGTCAAATTCACGTTGGTCGCTTCGGTGAAACTGTCCAACCATCTCGTCCTCTGTTGTCCCCTTCTCCTCTTGCCTTCACACTTTCCCAACATCAGGGTCTTTTCCAGGGAATCTTCTCTTCTCATGAGAGGGCCGAAGTATTGGAGCCTCAGCTTCAGGATCTTTCCTTCCAGTGAGCACTCAGGGTTGATTTCCATCAGATTGGATAGGTTTGTTCTCCTTACAGTCCAGAGTCTCCTCCAGCACCACAATTCAAAAGCATCAATTCTTCGGCAGTCAGCCTTCTTTACGGTCCAGCTCTCACTTCCATGCATAGCTACTGGAAAAAACCATAGCTTTGACTATGTGAACTTATGTTTTTTAAGACACCGTCTAGGTTTGTCTTTTAATATCGTGGCTGTTGTCACCATCTGCAGTGATCATATAGCCCAAGAAGGTAAAGTCTGTCACTGCCTCCAATCTTCCCCTTTTATTTACCAGGAGGTGATGGGGCCAGTGGCCATGATCTTAGTTTTTTTGATGTTGAGCGTCATACCATTTTTTGCACTCTCCTCTTTCACCCTCATTAAGAGGTTCTTTAATTCCTCCTCACTTTCTGCCATCAGAGTGGTATCATCTGTATATCTGAGGTTGTTGATATTTCTTCTGGCAATCTTAATTCCGTCTTGGGATTCATCCAGTCCAGTCTTTCGCACGATGTATTCTGCATATAAGTTAAATAAGCAGGGAAACAATATACAGCCTTGTCGCACTTATTTCCCAATTTTGAACCCGTTGTTCCATATCCAGTTCTAACTGTTGCTTCCTGTCCCACATATAGTTTTCTCAGAGATAGATAAGGTGGTCAGGCACTCCTATTTCTTTAAGAACTTGACATAGTTTGTTGTGGTCCACACAGTCAAAGGCTTTTGCATAGTCAATGAAGCAGAAGTAGATGTTTTTCTGGAACTCTTTGGCTTTCTCCATAATCCAGCATATGTTAGCAATTTGGTCTCTAGTTCTTCTGCCCCTTCGAAATCCAGCTTGTATTTCTGGGAGTTCTTGGTCAACATACTGCTGAAGCCTACCTTGTAGGATTTTGAGCATAACCTTGCTAGTGAAATTAGTGGTTTACCCTTATAGCGTTTTACCCTTCCATAAACAGCAGGGCTCCTGTATCTCTAATCTAATGGATGAGCAGAACAGATAAATTCAGCTGGTGCACTTTCTACAATGAGTGATATGTTTTGGCCACCCTACCTATTAACCTAATTTTTAGGAGGAAAAACATTTCATCCACTCAAAAGGTGCTTCTGATTCACCAGGCAACACAATCTCCCCTCCAAAAAGGGACCAATTACATTTAGACTGCAGGATTTACATTAAAGGTTTCCTTCATAAAGATGTTGCTCCTTTCTTGCCACGAAGAAATAATACCTAAAGCATGATGCTTCCTCCAATACATAAAGGCATCATCTTAATTTTTTTAAAAAATTTTCTTTCAAAACTGCTGTGTAAATAGAGAAAACATCATGCCATTAACCAACAGGGAATTTTTAAAATTGGATGGCATCTTTCCGAAATAAATGCATTGGAAGTTGTTACCTCATGATAGCTGATCGGAGATAAATAGGCTTCTTGCTGCAGGGCATAATTATATATTAATGAGACATTGATCATTGAAGTGGAAATCTGCAGTGTATTTGGCTGGGTATATTTCTTTATAGGTACTTCTACTCACTGCGTTTTACATTCTGATTACACAAGAGGGTGGGAGAGAGTCAGGAACATTACCTGTACGGTTTGATAATCTTCTGCCCGTAGCGTAAAGCACCCTCCCAGTCTTGCGTGTAGAGGCAGACTCCCATCGCCTGATACATCATGTGCAACATGTAAACATTACTCTCGGCAAACACCGAGCCCATCTTGTCAAGGCTGAGCTCACAAATCTCTAGCAGTTCACTTGGGGGTAAGCTAACCGTCAAGGAAAATAAAAAGCAGGAAAACATTTCATTGTGACCCCAGGTTGTACACACAGGTGGCATTTTGTACTGGTTCCTAACAGAAACCACAGGAATACCTGCGCCACACAAAAACATCAACCTCTCCTCCTGGCCACAATTTTATTGTTTTTACTTATCACCACCCACTCACCATAGTCTTTTGGGCAATTTATAAAATATAAAAGCACTAAAATCGAAATATCCAATAGTTTTTGAAAACCACCACCACTACAATGCACAAACTAATTAGACAAATAAATAAAAACAAGTCAAAAATCCCACACAGAATAACTTAACCACTGGTTAATACAAGAAAGGCCCTATTCCTGGTTGCCCCCTCACACATCTCATCCACAGGGGCACATTTTCGCAAATGGCTTGGGTCCAAGCTATCTAAATGGCTGCATTTTCCCTCTATGTGTCTGTCCCTGGTCCCATGTGAAGTTGGTGGGACCAAGAGAAAGGCTATTGGGGAAGCCTTTCTCTTGGTGTCCCCACCTTCACAGGTACGTTCAATGGTGACACAGGAGAGGGCCTTCTCTGCTGCTGCTCCCAGACTTTGGAACTCCCTCCCACAGGAGGACAGACTGGCCTCATCTTTGCTGTCCTTCCACAAGCAGGCAAACATTTCTCCTCAGGCTGACTGTTCCTTAGTGATTGGCAGTCTGAGAGGAAGTGTTTTTTTTTAACGGATTATCATGTTCCATTCTTTTTAGTTGGTTTGTGTTGATTTTATTGAGCATTTAAAATATAATACTTGTTTAATTCTTCTTTAATATTTGTACACTCACTGTTTTGAGATTTTAAATATTGTTTTTTAGTTCTTGTAAGCCACCTTTTAAGGAGAAAGGTGGGATAATGAATGAATGAATGAATGAATGAATGAATGAATGAATGAATGAATGAATGTTCTCCCACAGTCCAAGTAGGTGAATACTGAAGTAGGTAGCATGTATGAAATCCTCTGGAGGTATAATGTGAGTGTAAAAAGTAAAAGGATATCTGTGTCCAGATGGATGGATTCCTGAAAGCAGGAATCAGGTTGTTGTTGTTCAAGTGAGACCAAATGAAGTGCTTGAGCATCCCTACTTCTTGAACCAAGGTGTGGATCAAAGATGGACTAGATATAGGACCCATACTGTAGATAAACAAGCTCAGATGTAACACAACAGTAGGGAGTCCACTGTTGTGGGTGTTAATCCAGTCAAGATGGAGATAGCATTGAGCACAGATTCCAGAGATACAGATCTAAGTTTTAACTTGTTCTGAAGGTGATCCCCATGAAGGGTCACATATGCAAGTGTGGACCCATTCTTAGATACAGTAGTGCTCCTTGATGCTCAAGTGGAATACTTTTTAATGGTTTTGCCTGGTCTTCAAGTTGCACTGCTACCTGGAGAAACCAAAGATAGTCATTACGTTACATGCCCTTCTTAGATTTACCTTAGATTAACGCAATATAACATAATTCTACATGGTTTTGCTCTTCAGAGCTTGGAGAAGTTTTCTTTCTTCCCTTCTTCCTTCCTTCCTTTCTTTTTTTGGATTAAAACGCCCAGAATGACTGGCTTTTAGAGGCTATAATCCTAAAAAGTAACTTTTCCAAGTCCAGGATCTAATCCAACAAGACTTCTCTTTTATTCACCTACTATAAACATAAAACATATAAAACAGTCAACTGCATCATCCTTGTATGGTGCATTGGTAGCTTGGTGGTATTCTAAGCTACACAGAGACCTATTTCATCCTCCCTGTTCATTCTTTCTATAGGAAATTCTATAGGAAAGACTATCTTCATACCATGATAATTTACTCAGGGATAGATAGAAGAGTTCCGCAAGTCCCATCCAGACATTATTCTCCCAGTGCAGAACTTTGTGTGTGTGTGTGTCCTGCCCCTCTCATTCTTTTCTTGCCAGGCTGACTCCTGTTCTTCTTATATTGAGGGGGAAGAAAGCCTGAAAGGTGGGTGGGGATGAGTTGTTTGTTCTGCACATTTGGCTGGACACACAATCTTCCTGTCCAGCACAGGAGGGGCAATGTCTGAGAACCACAATCAGCAGTATTCCTTCATTTGAAAATGAAGGACTCATTTGATGACCAACATGTACTCATTTTGGACCAAGAAGATAGGTGGTTTGAGAGAGGAATCAAGGAGGCCATACATGTGCATACAGAAAATTCCTCACTCAACAGGGGTGGAGGCCTTAGATACAATCTGTCTCCTATTTATCATGCTGCCCTTTCACCCGTCCCCAGGAAGATTAGGTCCACACCCACTAGAAAGACTACTGTTAAGGACCCATGATAATGGGCAGAAGGACTGCATAAGTGGGATTTGCACTCGGCCCCAGCCCTTTGTTCTTAGAAGGAGCTTATTCAGATCAAGGGGGAAGTGGAACCAATGTGAAGAATATATCAGGGATTTCCTACCAACTCTCCTCAGACTGATGAAGCTAGTTGGATATAAGTAGCAGAACGTTTCAACCTAATAAGAAGTCCAGCTGCAATGACTCAGTTTTGAGATATTCTCACCTGGATGACTGAGAATCTTCACATAAATCTTCCTGGAATCAAAATTAAGTGTCAGAAGACTGCGGGATAGCAGATGTCACAATAATCTTTAAAAGGCGGGGGGCAGGAAACTACAGGCCGGGTAACCTAATGTCTGTTCCAGGGAAGATGGTGGAAAGCCTGATCCAAGATAAAAGCTTAAAACACATAGAAGAATAAGCCTTGCTGAGGGAAAATCAGCATGGCTTCTGTAAGGGTAAATCTGGCCTCACAACCTTTTAGAATTCTTTGAAAAGGTAAACAGGCATGAGGATGTGGGTGGACCAGTGAATATTGGGGCCCAGATAGGTTTTTCTTCCATCCTGCTCAGAAGAGGAATCAAAACAGGAATTTTGCTGGGCGTTATTGCAAAATTTCCTCCTTTGCTTAAGACTAAGGTTTCTTCTGGGGAGAGTTGGCGTCCCGATAGGTTGATGATGATGCGCATGGTATCTAGTGTAGGTTTCTGTTGGCTTGTTTGGCATTTGTTGAATTTCCGTTTTTGTCTGTCTGTGTGGTTCATAATTTCTTTCTTTTTCCATCTTATTGTAAGAGAGGGTATCAATCTTGTCCCAGTCTTGACTTCTCATTTTTTGGCTGATAGTGAAGATCCTCTGAAGATAGTGAAGTCCTCTGAAGATACCGGCCTAGTAGTTCTGTGGCCGGTATCTTCAGAGGACAGCAAACTGTTTGCTGTCCTCTGAAGATGCCGGCCACAGAGACTGGCGAAACGTTAGGAAGAACCACTTTCAGAACACGGCCAAGAAGCCCGAAAAACCCACAACAACCAATAATAACATTAACTACAATAATCATAATAATAAACATAACAAATATCATCATCATCATATTCATGAAAATGTACAAAGATAAACAGGCCACAAATCACACACCGTCCGGCATCTGCATATGAATGCCAGGAGTATGGGAAACAAATAAGAACTAGAAATTTTTATTCAGGAGGGTAACTATGACTTGATAGGAATAACTGAAACTTGGTGGGATGACTCCCATGAGTGGAATACAGCAATTGAGGGATATAAAGTGATCAAAAAGAACAGAGAGAATAAAAAGGAAGGTGGAGTGGCAGTATATGTCAAAAATACACATTCCTGCATAGAGATACAGGAAGAGGAGAGTGGCTGTCCCATCGAGAGCATTCGGATTAATCTAGTTGGGGCAAGAAACAAAAGGAACTTGGTAGTTGGAGTCTACTACTGACCACCTAATCAAAGAGAGGAAGCGGATGAAACTTTTGAAAAACAAATTGTAGGGTTTTTGAAGAGACACAATATAGTAGTGATGGGAGAGTTCAATTATCCAGATATATGTTGGGAGGCAAATTCTGCCAAGTATGGCCCTTCCAAGAAATTCCTGGCTTGTGTGGCTGATAGTTTTTTCCTACAAAAAGTAGAGAAAGGAACTAGAAGATTTGCTATCCTTAGAGAAAGGAACTAAAAGATTTGCTATCCTTGACTTGATTCTGACCAACAAAGATGACTTGGTGGGGGAAGTGGCAGTAAGGGGAACTCGAGGTGAGAGTAATCATGTCCTTCTAGACTTCTTGATTTCAAAGGAAAGGAAAGCAAAGTGTAGCCACACACTTCTGCTGGATTTTTAAAAAGCAAATTTTAATAATCTCAGAACAAAGATAAGTAAGATCTCATGGCAGGAGATCCTAACAAGAAAAGGAATCCAAGAAATGTGGGAGCTTCTTAAAAAAGAAATTCTAAAGGCACAACTACAAACAGTTCCAACAAGAAAAAAAGGTGGGAGGCGGCAAAAAAGGCCAGTGTGCAGATGACACAAAACTTTTCTAAGTGGTGAAGACCATAAGGGATTGTGAATAGCTCTAGAAAGATATCTCCAAACTTGGAGAATGGGTGGAAAGATGTCAAATGTCTTTCAATATAAGAAAATGTAAAGTGATGCACACTGGGGCAAAAAAAAAAAAATCAAAACTTTAGTTTTCAGCTAATGGGTTCTGAGCTGTCTGTGATGGATCAGGAAAAAGATATTGGTGTGCTGGTGGACAGCTCAATGAATCTCCGGGCTTAAAAGGAAGGTGCCTTACAATGACAGATGCAGGGGAGGGCTATCAGGAGACAGGCATCTAGTTGCCTCATGTGCTCCCAGAGACATCTGGAGGGGCCCCTGTGAAATACAGGGAGCTGGAATAGATGGTCCCTTGGCCTGATCCAGCAGGGCTCTTCTTATGTTCTTATGTAAAAACGCCTAAAGTGCAGTCTTCTTGGCAGCAGAGGAGCATACTAAGCTATCATGCTGACATTTTTTTCTGAAAGGTCAGGGAAGTACCCAATGCTTCCAGCGATGTGTAGGATGTTAGTGTACATAGCTCTATTCACTTGGAAAAGGTTAGAGAGAAGGCAAGAGACTATGCCATAATAAATAGATGAAGGCTGCTTCAGGATTTGAAAACAGTCTATCTACAGTACACAATTAGTTGTTGCAGTTTGATTCCTCTTAAATTGCCATGGTTTCATCCTATAGAATCGTGGGATTTGTAGTCTGGTAAGTAGATCTGACTTTTCCGCCAGACAAGACTTACACACTCGCTTAAACTATAATAGAAAAGTCTGAATGACCTGAGAGAAATATCTCAAGTACTTCACCAAACAACAGATCCCAGGAATCCAGAGGATCCAGAGCTATTATTGTGAAGTACAGAGACACCTCTGGACTCTTTTTTTCTTTATTAGAAAAGGATTCCACAAACGATGAATACTTTTTTTTTGTTTGAATTAGGAGTTCCTGAGCTTCAACCTCATAATTACTATTTAAACTACCACTGAAAACAAATGTTGTTTGTTTTAAAAGTCCCAACAAAGGGTTCAAATCAATGGGTCTTATTCCATTATTAGAGCAAAGGGCTTCATGGCTGAGGCCAGGCCAGGTTTTTTTAACTGTCAACCCTCAAAATAATTCAAAAGAAAAAAATTCAAAATTCAATTTATTTTGTAATTCCCTCCCGTCCTCCTCTCAGTTTCATTCTGCAACCAGAAGTATCAAGTTCAGCACTAAAGCAAATTAATTGCTGGAAAATAAATTGTAGTCTTCAGATTTTTTTTAAAGGTGGGGATGAAGGGCTGCAAACTGCCATCTTTATGCTTTTGAAATTTCATTTCTGGACATGCTCAAAAATTGGCAGCTAAATTGAATGTATAGTTCAGCCTTACACAGACAGAGATAAGACAAAGAACACCAAAGGATATATTTGTAGTGTTTGGCTCTCCTGAACTCCTCAATCACGTTTCTGGCATATTTGATCGTATCTCGTATGACTTCTGCTGATGGAGGCTCGTTCAGCTTGCGGATTTCCAGCTTATCTTTGTCCTGAGGGAAGAGTTGTGAGGGAGTTATCAGAGCTCTTCCAACCGATGCACAAAAAGCAGCTCTGCTCAGGACCTGAGAATAGCTTTAAAACACAAATATAAGCTGTCTGGGTAGCTCAGTGGTTTAGATATCTGGCTGTGGAGCCAGAGGTTGGGAGTTCAATTCCCCACTGTGTATCCCAGAAGAGCCAGCCTGTGCAGCCTTGGGCAAGCTGCACAGTCCCAGGGCACCCCCAGAAGAAGAGAATGGTAAACCACTTCTGTGTATTCTCCACCTGGAAAAGCCTGAAAAGGATTGCCATAAATCAGAATTTACTTGACAGCACATACTATTATTATTATCATCATCCGTACATAATAAGCCAATACATTTGGGAAGAGCAGAGAGAGAGAGGGGGGGGTTTCGGGCTCTTTGGCCATGTTCTGACAGCTGAATATCTTAATACTTCAAAGAAAGCCTTCCAAGAGAGAGAGAGAGAGAGAGAGAGAGAGAGAGAGAGAGAGATCTTTCTTTGAAACATTAATATGTACAGCAGCCTCCTCAACCTGGTCTCCTTCCCAAATTTGTTGGTTTACAACTCCCATCATCCCAGGCACTTAAGGAGATCAGGCTGGAATATCACAGAATTAACACTTTTAGATCAATTTCAAAGAAATTAAATAAAATGGTTGTTGTGGGTTTTTCGAGCTCTTTGGCCATGTTCTGAAGGTTGTTCTTCCTCACGTTTCGAAAAACCCACAACAACCTTTAGATCCCGGGCGTGAAAGCCTTCATGAATAAATTAAATAAAAATCACATACAAATTACATAAATTTATTTGATTTTAAAACAATCAACTAAAATGTTTTTTCTTGCAACAGACTGTGGACTAATACAGCTACCCCTCTAGAACTGTAAAACCAACACTGGCCTACTCAGATGGGACCTTTTTAGTCCTGCAACATATGTTTGCAGAATTTATAGAGAATTAGACTTAGAAAGTAGGGATTTTTTTTGACAGCTCCATGTACAGTTTTCACTTCATATGTTCTTCTTAATTGGCAAAAACTAGGTGGGATAACAACAGTCCATATAAATCTACAGTCTACTTTTTTGTTGTTGCAACCAGTGAAGGACCGAAAAGTCTTATATCTCAGATGTGACATATTATGATTCTTAGTGGTTTGGCCTGAGCATTCCACCTACATGCCCAGAACTCTGCACTGCTTTCAGCGAAGGTTGAGGAGGTGACAAGAGAGAAAACAATGTTTCCTGGGGAGATGGGAAACGGATGTGAGATTCTGGGAGACACAATCCTCCCCTCACAAAAACCATTCCCACCTCTGGTTTCCTCTCTAGGATGAAGTGTGGGAGACAAATTTGTTTTGATAAAGTTATATCAAAACACAACATCAAGTTATATTCAGTTTTAAATACTGTCTTTTAATGATAACCACCATTGTATACCAGAGATGGTGACAAAGTGCCAAAATGGAGGTCCATCTTGGTTCATGTTCATCAAACTTGATGACCGATGAACCAAATTGCCTCCAGTGACCTGACAAACAACGAATCAATTCGTCATTCATTGGGTAATTTATTTTATTTTATTTTTAAATTTTGCTTTCCCTCCTCTTGCTATGCCCCACTGGGCACAGCAAGAAGAGGGAAAGCAGGGATCAAAGTGATCCCACAGCAACGCTGCCTTACCAAAGGCTGCCAGACTAGAGGATCGCTATGATCCCTTTCCCCCTCCTCTTCTTATGCCCTGCAGGGAATAGCAAGAGGAAGGAAAACAGGGATCCAAGCCATCCCACAGCCCCGGGGGTGGAATTTCCTTCGGACAGGCTTTAGCAAGCAGCTGAAAGGGAAAACCCCTCTCTGCTTATGCCCCTGAGCAACAGCTGATCCACGGAGGCATAAGCAGACAGGGAATGAAGCGAAGAATATAAAAGGTTTGTATTCATTGCTTTGTATTCGTTGGGGTCCCTAGACCCCAAGAATACAAAGCAACAAATATCTGATGACTCAGGGATATTTAATGAATATCCTGATTCATTTTTTATATTTGTCCCCATGTCTATTGTATAGTCATTGTTTTCAATATTAAATGTTGTCTCTCGTTGTTATAGTTGCTTGCTGTCCTGTCAATTCTGACTTATGGCAACCCTTTTTAGGGTTGTCTACATGTAAGTACTCAGAGGTCATTTACCAGTACCGCCTTCTGGGGGTGCACTGAGATTCTGCAGCTTGCTGAAGCTACACAGGCTGGCTCTTGTTCTGGGGATTTGAACTCCTAGCACCACCCAACTCACTGAGCTATTAATTAATTAATTAATTAATTAATAGCTCAGTGAGTTGGGTGGTGCTAGGAGTTCAAATCCCCAGAACAAGAGCCAGCCTGTGTAGCTTCAGCAAGCTGCAGAATCTCAGTGCACCCCCAGAAGGCGGTACTGGTAAATGACCTCTGAGTACTTACATGTAGACAACCCTAAAAAGGGTTGCCATAAGTCAGAATTGACAGGACAGCAAGCAACTATTAAATTAAAGTTATAATGGAAAGCTGATTTTTCCCTCCTGGATTCGAACAGCCATAGTTCTAATGGTTCAGCTTAAACAAATCAGAAAATGAAGCTTGAAATATTAAGTGTATCACAGCTCTGCTTTAAGACTTCACAGTAGAGACACCAAAGAAATATTAAATGAAAAGGATGAAAAAAAAATTGAAAAGGACAAGGAGATAAGGAAAGTGCCTCATCTCTGCAGTCAAGCTGCCATCAATCATTATAAAAATTATAGTTACCTTTTCTTTAGTAATACACTCTCTGCAACCACAGGTAAAGAAATAGGAGTCCCTTAATCGATCGTTTCTATCTTCTGTAGGATACAACAGGTCAATGTAACTAGTAAAAACCTAGAGAAGAAAGGTAGATCATGTTATAAGCCTGCACAGCTCAATGCCCACAATTGCATTCAGTGCCTATAAGCCAAAAATTCTGACCTGCTGACCCTTGATTTGAGATAACTGTGTGTTGGAATTTGCTATTTGTTTGTTTCTCCCTTCATGCAAATACGTATACAAACCTGACAGATAGCCTCTTAGCAGGAAAAAAAAATCAGCCTTGGGATTGTGGTTTATTGCATAAGGAAAACCCCATTATTCGTAAGTCAGATTTAGCCACTGTCTGTTGACAATTTGCAAATCTTAATTTCTTTGTGTACTATTAGCTAGAGCTGGATGAGATCTCCATTTCAGTTCCTTTATTTTTTTAATAAACCTGTTCCAGAACTCACAAATTGTTAGGATAATAGCACCCTTGCATGCACTAACAATGGATATCAGTGAGAGGGGGCTTTACAGCCTACTGTGGTTGTCCTTTGCTACTAACTTAGGTTCATAAAGTTCTTTGCCTGCTTCTGGTACTTGAAGCAACCCCACCCCTCTTCCTGTTTGTTTGCCTTGCTTCTATTGTTTTGTTGTTGACAGCTTTCTCCCCCTCTGACCATCTTCCAAGTAGCAATCATGCAGGGGCTCATTCATAGTGGTGTCTCCATTCTACCCTCCTTTTTTCTCTTGACTGTAACTACAAATGATAACTTTAAGTAAAGAGACAATTTCCCACTTTAAGTGCTTCTAGAGTGATTTTATTCTACAAAGTGCTAGTTGGTGTAGAAAAAAATAGGGAGGGTGCTGATGAGACTGAGCTGATCTGTCCAGGTTTCTGTGATGTTATTTTTTTCTACTTCATACTCTACTTACTAAAAGAGAAACAAAAATTCCCCAAAAATAAATATCTATCTGGGATGGAAAGAACTGGAGATTAAAAACATTCAAGTGTGGCAGAAATGGAAACTGATTTGTTCATCGAGACCTAAGGCTTTGGGCAAGTTGGACTGTTAAGATTTATCTTAGTTGAATTAGGTTCCTGCCTGTTGAGAGCATGAATTAAGGTCACCATCTCTTTTTCCAGAGCAGTATCTGGACAGCTCAACAGGTTAAGGCATCTGGCTGTACAGCCAGAGACTGGGAGTTCGATTCACCACTGTGCCTGTTTGACAAGGGTTGGACTTGATGATCCATAGGATCCCGTCCAGCTCTGCAGTTCTGAGATGATGATGATGAAGATCTCAACAGATACAATATGGTCTTTTCCATACTTGGAACAGCTGTACCTACTGAACTGGGCCATTAGGACTAGAAGATAATTTTATTTCCAGTTCATTTTTTTTACATTTGTAGGTAAAAGTAAAGGTTCCCCTTGACAGTTTATAGGTAAAAGTAAAGGTTCCTCTTGATAATTAAGTCCAGACATGTCTGACTCGAGGAGCCAGTGTTCATTCCCGCTTGTAAGCTAAAGAGCTGGCATCTGTCCATAGACATCTGTGGTCACGCGGGTCTGACTCGAGGAGCCAGTGCTCATTCCCACTTGTAAGCTAAAGAGCTGGAATCTGTCCATAGACATCTGTGGTCACGCGGCCAACATGACTAGACACGGAATGCCATTACTTTCCCACCAAGGTGGTCCCTATTCATCTACTCACATTTGCATGCTTTCGAACGTCTAGGTTGGCCGGAGCTGGGACAAGCAGTGTGAGCTCACCCCCGTCACGTGCATTCGAACTGCTGACCTTTTGACTGACAGCCTGGTGGCTCAGCGGTTTAACCCGCAGTGCCAACCACGTCCCCTTAAAATTTATATCAGCATGCAAATGTCTCTGGATTTGTTCATGCATACATGCACACACATGTGCAAAAACACACAGGTACCACAATTCAAATATATATGCTAAAAAAGTCTTGTGTTTATTTGATTCCCTATAATATATGATGGCCATTTCCAGTATGCTGAGTTGTCATTCTTCTTCACGTTCTTGCTGTTCCCCACGTTTTCTGTACAGCACTGAGTTTAAAAATCTGCCTGTTCTTTTTTTGTTGTGTCCTTCACCTTCTCTTAACATGCCCAGGGTAAGCTCATGTTAATTAGCAGTTGTTTGTTTTTATTCTACAGTGAATGCATCTCAATTGTTTATCTCCAGGCACAAAATATGAGACCCAATTTAAACATTCTCTTTCTCCCTCTCTCCCTCATTCATTCACTCTCAAATCTCTCTTTCTCTTCCCCTCACCCGCCATTCACACAGAATCTAGGAAATTTTGAGAAGTTGCAACAAGCTTGAACCATAAGGTGGCAGCATAGGCTACACCACTGACTATAAACGTGTCACAGTTCTGCTAGTGTGAACCTCAAAAATATAGTGTAGTAAGAAATGTTCTATCTCTACATTGACACTTCTGTTTTCTTTCCCTTTATTTTTACACATAATAAACATCCTCAGTCAAGTATAAAGCATTCAAAAGAACATCTCGGACAAGGCTGACTCAGCCATCCATTTTTTCAAGGTAGATAGATCGAGTACCCAGCTCTCTGGGGGGGGGGGTGAGGGGAACAATGCGTAGGCTGCATAATTCAATTGTAAACTGTCCAGAGAGTGCTTTCAGTGTTGTGGGGCGGTGTGAAAGCAGCACATTTTCCTTTGCTTTTTGAGTAATGCTTCTTATCACTTTAGTTGGGTATATGTAATTTCTTGCACTTTTTAATTCTTAAACAAATTAAACAATTTTAGAACAAAACAGATTAATGAACTAATTTCATAATTCTCCTAACCACTGACTGCAAACAGGTTCTTTTCCTCTAACTATCTGAAGCGAATGTGTCAGGGCTAATATCAACACTTCCAGGCTCAGAGTCTGATGAGGACTTTCGGAGAGAGATTATGATAGGCTGTAGTTCCAGGAAATAGCCCTGGATCAAGTCTTGATTGTAATGCTGTGTGGAGAGGAAAAAGTGATGGGCAGGGTTCCAGGGTTCACTTTCCACATTTTAAAATCAACCTGATTTCACTGGTGTCCACCACCACCACCACCACCCCAGCAAAAGTCATAAATGAGATGCAGGGAAGGGAGAGAGGAAGAGACGGGCCGTTAAGAAGAAACTGCCAATGTGCCTTTTACATATTCAATGGGAACCCCATCTGTACAAAATACTACCACTAAGTTCCTTTTGCTTTTACTCACTTACCTCATCTCCAGGTTCTATTTCCTGAACAGCTCTGACTTCAGCCACTGTCCCTTTATAGGTAACAATCACATTGGGGCAGCAACTGTGGTTCATAAGTGCCACACTGACCAAAGTAAAGGGAAAAAAAGAAGAAGGGTGTTTATTGTTCCATGAGCAGAAATACTAAAACCAACAGCAAGGTGAAAGCCTATAGGACTTATGCCAATGCCAAGGATTTAATACCTCTTGTTAGGACAATTGTAGCTGGGAAAATGAGGCTCCAGGGACATTCCCAATGCAGTGCATGCTTATGAATCAGCAAAAGCTCCTCATTAATTAAAAAGAAAAAAATACAAGAATATCCATGTCCTCTCTTTTCTGTGATAGTTCTTAGGTCGATGCTTGCAGGAAACCTGTGCCTGAAGATTAGGGCAAACTTGCTGGAACAGAAACAAACTGAAAGGTCTTATGGTAAGATATTCTAGATTGGGAAAAAAAATATTTGGGTGATGATCAGAACAAGAAATCCTCTCAATTAATCGCTATCAGACAGAATTCAGTGATCAATGTGCACCTCCACATGCATTCTCCTCTTTCAGCCTCACAAACACATAAACTGTATTGATATGTATTGATATGCGTGGTGGTGTTGTCATTACAGCACTGGTGAGGGTCTTAGGAAATCGAGGTTCGGATCACCACTCAGCCACGAAAATCCATGGGTGATGTTGGGCCGCTCAGCCTAATTTATTGATTATTGTGAAGATAAAATGGGGAAAATAAAACTATGTATACAGCCCTGAACTCAAAGGAGAAAAGGCACAACAGAACTGAGCCCCAAAATAAGTGTCTATGTTTACTTGAGGAGTTTCGGAGCTCTAATCCAAAAAAAGTAACTTTATCATACTCTTGAGACTGCCATGCGTTGGTCAGATGTGTCACTACAACAAGCTTTCCAAGTTCAGTATCGCTATCTTGACCAGCAGTAACCTTCCAGAAGCTCAAGCAGAAAGGTCTTCCGAAGATTACTGAGTACCTTTCCAACCAGACAGAATGCGCATGCCACCCCATGCATGCAAAACGAGTGCCCTGCCATGGATTTATGGATCCCCGCCATTGCACGTAGCACCGTATTATGGCAAGATCTTTGAAGCAGTGGCTCCCAACCTTGGCTCCTCAGATGTTCTTGGATGAAAACTCCCAGAAGCCTTCACCACTAGTTGTGCTGGCCAGGATTTCTGCAAGTTGTAGTCCAAGAACATCTGGGGATCAAAGGTTGGGAACCACTGTTCTAGGGGGCACACTGGAATGATTTGCCATATTGGCTCATCATAACACTTCCATAAAGGCAGACACAGTGGAATACAGAATGCTTCTTTTACACCACATAAGAACACTGATCTGCCTAACTCACAATTGTCCACACCAACCTTCCCCAGCCTGGACACAAGCACACTCCCCCTCCCACAACATTTTATATTACAGTTTCCATCATCCCAGGCCACTGACCAAGTTGTTTTAGACCACGAACAATTGGCGACTAGAAGATCTAAAAGCACCTAGGTTGGGGAAGGCTACATTCCACAAAGCAGCATTTCCCAGCTTTACCTATAGACAGACCTTTCAAGGCGTGAGTTCTACCACTAATCTAGCACATCCATCACAGGAAGAGGGTTCCAACATCAATCACTGGCACCTTCAGCTAAGGCGATTGGTTAGCAGGTGATTAAAAACACCTCTGCCTGAAAGCCACTGCCAGCAAGTGTAGACGGCAGAGGGTTAGTTGGACAAACAGTCTGACTTGGTCCAGTGCAGCTTCCTCTGTCCTGCGAATCCTATTCAGTCCGGCGATAGGGGAGCAGGCAGGCTCTACAGACATATACACTGAACAAGAGGTGGGAATGTTCCATAGTGTTCCAAGAAGTAGGAATGGGTTGTCCAACTGTGCAAATAAGCTGGTTTTTATATGCAAATTCTTGGAAATGCAACCCAGAGGTAGTTTATTGGAGATTAGAGGTGAATGTTGTTGATGTTGTTATGTGCCGCCAAGTCACCTCCAACTTATGGCAACCCTATGAATGAGTGATCTCCAAAACATCCTGTCCCCAACTGCCCTACTTAGCTGTCAACCAAAACCTGTGGTTCCTTTTAGGAATAAATCCATCTCATATTTGGTCTTCCTCTTTTCCTGCTGCCTTCAACTTTTCCCAACATTATTGACTTTTCCAGAGAATACAGCATTCTCATGATGCGCCCAAAGAATTGAATATAATATTTAAAATGCTTACTCTGGGAATATTGCTGATCCCAAGTGTGAAAGTTCTTCATCTTCAATAGTGAAACCATTGCAGTTAACCTGTGAGAAATGGAAAGTGAGATGGGAACCCTCACAACTCAGAAATCAAAGTCAGACAGCCTGCTTAGCATTCCATGGCAAGTAACCCCTATTCCTTCATGACCTACTGATTAATCTGATTAGAACACTGCTTCTTCTTAATCAAGTCTTGCCACTGAGCTACTAGCTTTACAAGAAGGGAGATCAAAATTTATTTACAATCTAATTCTGCAGTCACAGATTAAGAACTGGACAGCCGAGCTGAGCCACAGAAGATGGTATCGGGATCCAGCAAGCAGGTGTTGCAGCTGACGAAAGGGGAAGATGCCTGCATTGGATGCGGTGGTGGGAAGGAAGTTAAAGAAGCTAAGACACGGAAGTAGAAATGATAACAAAGACAGGAACAAAAACAGAAAAAGGTCCAGCTTCATTTCAGGAACATAACTACTCTCACTTTGCATAAAAATGACAACTATGGTCAGCTTTGTGTTGCAACACAAATACACACACAACAGTAATCACACAAGCAGTTTGCAACCTTTGGTGGGATGCCCATCATGCAAATGACTTCATGCCCAGTGCTGGACACCCTGTCAGAGTGTACAAACAGCTTGCATGATTGCTGTTAATGTACAGGCTATTTTCAATAAGAATCTTGCTAATACTGTATTAAGATATTCTCCTGGTAGAAGTATTCAGCTGCATTTGGTTGAAAGAGTAGGAAACTTGGCTGTTTTCGACAGAGAAAAACATTCAAATTCATACTTTATGTTTCTGAGTGTGAACAAGCAATAATGTGATTGTTCATGCTTCTGTTTGCAGAGGCACTGGGATGCACGCAGCAGTCTGAGGATGACATGCACTATGGTTAAATGCATGCAACACTCATACAAAACCTGAGAATAAAGGAAATAGAAATGCAATGCTCAAACAAGTGATGGGGGGGGGCACAGTGTAGCCCCTTCCAAGGAACACAGTCAAAAAAAAAATGGAGGTTAACTGGGAACCACTGAACCACCTTTATACAACAGTGCTGAAACTCTGCCATCTGGCTCTAGCCTAACCTCCCAAACAGATCCGTTTTATTTCATTTTATCCACCTTACTTGAGCAAAAAGGACCACAAGAGCTGCATTCTCAGGATATTCCATGTGTTTGGAATAGAAGTGATGAAGAGCCGAGATGTCGTTTTGAATCAGCTCCATCTTTTCATTGTCAAGCTGATCCAGATCTGCAAAGGAGATGAAATCCTTTTTTCAGTACAAGGGCCTCGTGGCTCGTTAACCCCACAAAGTCAACTTCAAAACAGGGGGTCCTCTAAGAAAGGCAATCATGAGAACACCTAGTTGAATGGCAGTGGGAAGCAGTGGGAATAATTCTATCCACCCCAGAACTTGTGAAAATGAATGACAGCTGAAAACCCCTGCTAACTAGTAGGCTTCTGCCCTTCTTCTTCCCCTTTTCATGTATTTGTAAGTACACCACTGAAGAACAATAAATGAAAACAAATTATCTTTGTTTTCAAATAAATGCCCTTAGTGCTAAAGCACAAAGTTACTGAAAAGCTACGTACTTCCAAGAAAAACAGATCTTTAAAGTGTTCAAAAGGTTGTCTATTCATCTTTGTAGAGCTGATCTGATGTTTGCCACCTGTCTTTCAGCATTCTAGGACTGTGCTTATTCCAAAATAGCTTCGCAGTATGAACTTTAAAAGATGTCTAGTATGACTGGTAATAAATCTTCCATTTATTCAATAATAATATCTACCTGTAGAGTTCTGGGCTACTGAAATACTGCAGTTTTAGAAGAGGTAGTTGTGTTAGTCTGTGCCAGTTTGTCAGGCCTAAAACAAAAGAAAAATAAAAAATAAAGAAGAGAAATATGTTGTGTCACCTTAAAGAGACCTGTATTATAATGTGAGCTTTGGTGGACAAATTCACTTCCTCCAACATAATACAGTAGATAGAACAGACATCTGAGGAAGTGAACTTGTCCACCAAAGCTCACATTAAAATATAACAGTTTTTCAGGTTCCACAACATTTATGTCTTTTTCATTTTTCTTTCGTTTTTGCCAAAAATACTGCAGAAAACTTGGGAGTAGAGTCGAATATCAGCTCCATCACATTGATTTAATCAGGAATATTTTCAAACAACTATCTTAAAATATATATACAAAAATTGTCTGTATGTCTCTCACCTGAGACAGATAGAGAGAGAGAGAGAACAACACCCAGTGATTTGCTAGATGAATGGTATATAAATCAAATGAATGAATGAATGAATGAATGAATGAATGAATGAATGAATGAATGAATGAATAGTCCATCCGTCCATCCATGTATTAAGCAGAGTTTTAATTTTTGAGTTCATGGTGCTGTGGCTCAAAGATACCTGAACAGGGCTCATAATTCCCCACTTCGTCTAAAATGGTATCAACTACTTTTCCTTTAATCAGCACTAAGCAAGAGAGCAACATGAAGGGAGTAACATAAGAAAGTGACTCTGCTGTGCTGACAATTCTTCTTTGCTTAGTCTTATCGGTTGCTCAACTTCTAAATCTGCCTGGTGGGGGATAAACTCCCTCCCCCAACTCTGTCACACAAACACACACATACACACACAAAGCAAACAAGGGCCTCCTCTCCTTCCTCAGTTCACTTCTAGAGTCAGGGAAATCACAAAGGACATGTCAGATTTGACTGGCAGTGACAGATATGCAAGGAAACACCGGAGGGCCCTGCAATTAGCCCCAAAGACACTGTCACTATCAAGTAATGGCACCATCTCTGACTTGATGCCCCGTTAATAATGCTAGGCTGTTTTAAATTTGGCAACATTAAAATCCACAAAAGTCACCCTAGCTGCCAGAAAAGCCAATACGTACACAGAAACAACATAATGAATGGCTTGGAATTTTAATTCTCTCTTTTCCAAACTTTAAAACCTTTTGGGTTCCAAGTTAGGGGGTGGGTGGGCACTATATCTTCTGTTCTTTTGCTACTAGAAAGAGTTGGATTCCAATATCTGCTGGTAGAAGGAGTGGGCAGACCCTGCCTTTCCTGCCCTCCTTCTCCCCACCAGTCTCTAGATGCTAGGAGACGCACCTTCAAGGATGAAGAAACCCTGCTATAGTGGGGTAGCCAGTATCATAGGGGTTAAGATGGCAGGAAACATAGAGGCAGCAGTTTCTGCTTCAATTAGAAGGCGTGCCCATCTATTTCAATGCAGTTCTCCCTTTCCCTTAGTCTCCTGCACCCTAATTTAATCAACTTACTAGGGCTACCTGATCTTTAGTAAAGCTTTTAGCATGGGCTTTAGGGGCAAGTAGGGAATGGAAGGGGTAGGAAAGTCAGTCTCTTCCTGCCTGCCTTCTTACTTATTTTGTATACTGTGCCATCTAGTGACATTCTACTAATCTGGGCACTTTCCAACATAATATGATATATAAGGATACAAACCCCACAAACCCAAAACAGTGATGACAAATTGGGGGGAATCAGCATACATCCCAAGCAAGAGCAGTTTAGCAGTTCTCTAAAAAGCAATGTGCTTAAATGCTTTCTGAATACAAGGACCTGGAACACTTCCACCAGTAGCACATTCCGTAGTGAGGTGGCCACCACTGAGAAGGCCCAGCTCCTAATCATAGCCTTCCTGGCCTCCCTCAGCGGTTGGGAGGTACATGTTATACGGATGGTAGATTTAAGGTAGAGGTGCTCCGACAGCCTGCAGTATCCTTCTGCTTATTTCTACTTACGGGACTCAAAGTCTTCCACAGATAGGAGTTTTTCAGACTCTGTCCTTTCTGGGTGTGTTTTCTTGTAAAAGAAGAAGAAGAGAAAGCAAAAAGAAAGAAAAGAAGAAAAGGAACATTTAAAAAAAAATCCACCACATATTTCACAGATTTATTCTCAGAATTGTCATTTTTAACACCTCCCCAATCTTCAAAGATTTCAGATGACTCCATGAACAGCTTTCTAAGTATAGATCTGCTGACATCTTACATCACATTCACCAGCCATAGTTCCAGAACTCCTACGACAATTTACGCCAACACAGAACAAGTAATTTTAAAATCTCCCATTTGTTTTAGCCGGAGACTCTCGGAAAGCAACTAGGAGTAGCAAGCAGTTAGAAGGCAGACTTTGCTTTGAGGAAAGTGCATAATCTCAATGTTGACAGAGTTAAAAAGCAACACTCCAGCATTGGCCTAAGGCCACTTCTTTGTAAGCTTGGCCATTAAATGCGGGTTTGCAGGTGGCCCAACAGCTGAGGTTCAGGGACTCTGGTTTGCATATTTAGCTTTCATATGGCATCTAGGGCTCCCTCCCACTTCCCTGCAAGCTATAAAAGCACAAATTTATTCCAATGACTTTTTCATCATTAAACATCTAATTTTGTTTGTGAACCACCACTAGACACTGCTTTAATTTTAAAAAGGGAAGAGAAAAGAAGCATGGGAGGTGGGGAATCAGGCAGACCACCACCATCCCAGCAGGTTTTCAGAGTCCTTTCTCTATACTGCATCTGGGTCACCCTTGTCATAGAAGCGCTTCTCAAGTGTACAGATCTTCTTCAAAGGCCACTGTTTGGGGTGGGGAAACTGCTTTTTTTTTTAATCATTGCAAAGTTGGAACATTGCAATAGCATATGACACAGTGACCTTGAAACTTGCTGGATCACTCTTTGTTTCCCTGAAAACAAATCCGAGACACGTTTCTCCCAAATGCCAATTTTACAGCGGAAGGAACCTCCAGGTCTCCTGATATTGGTGGGGTGCCTTTTATAGTCCATCCGCACACCAAGCTCTCTGCACATGTCTTTGGTTGGGGTTCTTTATGCTACAGCCTCAGTTATACAGAATTTCTGCTTTGCTTCCTACAACTATCATTCAAACACAGGAATGTGAGAAGGTGCCTTATACTGAGTCCAGACCACAGTTCTACCCAGGCCATGACTGTCAACTCATCTGTTCAGGCTTCCAGGAGAGATTCTCTTCCAGGCATACTTGGAAATTCCTGGTATTCCCAGGTGGCCTCCCATCCATGTTCTAACCAGGACCAACCCTGCTGAGCTTCAAAAAGGGTGGTATGATGTTAGATTGTCTTATGTTCCTATTCCAAAAGCATGTTAAAGCAACTCCCCTCCTCGTTGGCATACTTCCAGGTTGGTTTTAAGTGTTCTTGATTGTTTGCTTTTTGATGTTATTTCATTGCATTGAACTTAGGCTTGTCACATTTAGAGCACACCCACTGGGCTTAATGACTAGTAAGGAATTAGTATCACATGATAAGTTTCTATTGTGGTCATTGTCACTTCCAGGATTTAGGTTACATGACTAACTTAAAAAGCCTATCAATTTTAGCAGGTCCAGTCCATAAACAACCAAGACCAAAATTCAATTGCTAATATTGCACAGAGTAGACCCAATAGACTGATTTATGTAAGTGCTGACTTGTCATACAGTAATTGTTCCAGTGGGGCTGCTCTAGCTGGTACCAGAAACTGCATTTAGGACATAGTCAGGATCTAAACCACTGTTTATGTCTTTGTGCAAACTAACTTGTATTTTGGACTTTGCCTCTAAATTATTGTATATCATTTTGCAAATCTAACCAAAAGCACAATTTATGAAGCAATGTAGGGCTTCAATAATGCACCCATAACATCTTGTAATAAATGAATATAACAATTGGCTAATGGTTTTGGCCACTTTTACTTTAGCAGGTCTATGTATTAATATGCATTTCTCTGTGTATTAATATTGGTAAAGATTTATTACTACTGCAGATTTTAGCAAGGGAGCCGATCAGAGAGGTATAGATTACATCCATTCTCATCCACTTTCCAGTTTGATTCATTCCAATTTTTGAAGTTCAGTGTTAAGAACAAAGAACCACATCTTCCATTGTAGTTCTCTTTCTACTTGGAAATGATCAGGCCGGAATAGGGGGCAGTTTAGACACAGGCTTTGCTTCCTCCTAATGGGAGAAAGCCTTTAGGAAGCCTTTTCAGCCTCACCCTTTTCTGCCTCAGGAATGGGGGTCTGCCTAACCAGGTTAGTCAGTAGCATATACGTGCAGGAGAAGGCCACGCTGTGGCATGAGGGAGATAAGAGGGTGTCCCCTCCCTAATCCATGCATAGAAACAAACTAGATGGACAAGTTTGATCTTTATTGAAAACTAGCTGTCTTCTATCACACTTGAGGGAATAAATTAATCTAGAAGGTGCAAGGCAGTTTGTTTGTTTGCTTGTTTGTCTTGCTAACACAGCTCTGCTGGAGCCAGGGAATTCAAGATGTTCAGCCATGTGCATCTGCTGGTGCTACCCACCTGAGATAGGCATCTTACTTCACCTAATGGCAGGATGAACCTCATACTGTATAACATCACATTCAAAGTGAGAACCTGACCTTAGAGACCTTGGACTGTGGAGAATGTGGCCAAATAGACTGAAAAAGCTGTCCCTCACTGATCTGATTCAAGAATATTCAATTATGGGCAAATCAAGCACTGGAAAGTAAAGGTTCTACAGTTATCCTAAGGAGAACGGCAGTGTTCCCATCTTTGGGTCCCCAGATGTTCTTGGACTAAAGAAGGCTTCACTGTTAGCTGTGATGGCCAGGATTTCTTGCAGTTGTAATCCAGGAACATCTGGTCACCCAAGGTTGGGAAGCACTGGTCTACAGCACAAGAAATAATTTGCAGTGCTTGCAGCAAGAAAACAATGGCACAGAAAGAAAGATTGCAATGTTGTGAAAAATTTGGCAGGAACATTTTGGTAGAGAAAAGTAATGGATGACACTGGAGAAGCAGTTTAGAATGCAGAAAAGATAGAGGCTATGCAAGAGCTTATCATACATACATGTTGTAGAATAGATGTGGATAACTTATAGACCCTCAGAGACTGCTGCACTCCAGCTCCCATTATCCTCCACTACTGGCTCTACCAACTATAGCTGATGAGAGGTGCATTCCACCAACATCTGGAAGGTCCCAATCACTCTGGAAACATATGTTTAACTATTACTGATTACCAGAGCAACTGTTAATCTACAAAAAACTCAGTTTTTCAGGAAAATGTTTACTGTAAGGCTTGGTCTCTTCTCTGGCTCATTCTTCTCCACTTCTAAAACCAAAACAAATCTGGACCGAAATCTCACTCACCTGCTTGGCAAGAATCCTTGCCGTGAGCCTCACGGTCTCTGAGGGATTCCAGTTCTGTCCAAACACACACATGGCAGAACATTCCAGCTTGTGCATGGGCCAGTCCTCTTTCTGGAAGGTTAAACAAAAGGAGGAAAAACTGAAGATGTGTATTTTGTACATAGTTAGAGGCTGCCATGTGCCCCACCAAAGCTTAGAGGTCAAGTGAAGTGTGTTTCCTTTAAAACAATGACTCTTGCTTAGATACTCACTAACTATGGAACAAATCTGAAGACAGAGTTGGTTTGAGCATGATCTGATAAGATATTGCAGCTTTTAAGAAATATAGTGAGGGGGAAAGGACAAGTGAAGTCACCACAAGAATCTAAAAGACCCAAGAAGCTGTCATGGCCAACGATCACCAACAGGTAGTGCTATTGTCCTTAGTGTCACCTGGCACAATGACTGACCAGATGAGTCCTAATCCCTATTCTCATATGTGTACAGAATCTTCCAGTTCAACCCCTGCCAATGCAGAAAATCCACAGCTAAAGAATTTTTTGACCAATGGCCATTCAACCTGTTTACAAACCTTCAGCAAAGGTGAGACACACCCTGAATGGGTCCATTCATCTATGAAATATCACTCACCATCATGAACTATTTCTTAATGCCAATTCCAAAGCTCTTTCCTTTAATCTAAATCAAGTGGTCCAGGCCCAACCCTCTAAACAGCAAAGAATTGTGCTCCAGCTTCCACATCAGAACCCTTCAGATGGCTATCACATCACCTTTTTATCTTCTCTCCAACTCATACTTACCCAACTTGTCAACCTTCATAGAGCTTGGTTTCCAGATCTTTTGCCATCTTTGTCAACCTTCTTTGGAAATGTTCCAGATGTTGATATCCTGCTTAACTGTGGTACCTAGAACTCAACTCAGGTGAGGTCTGACTAAACCAGAACAAAGTGGTACTATCATTTCCCTTGATCTGGACACCACCTATTGACTCAGCCTAGAATCACATTTTTTTTTGCTTGCATTGCATGGCTTTTCCTCTTTAACTGCTGTCAAATTGCAAAGGATGTAGTCTACAATGGGTACCAAAGGGTCAAAAGAGACCCCTAAGACTCCCTAGTATTTCCCATCCCTTGTGTACTGAGCTTGTTGGCCCTTTCCTCTCTGTGTGTTAAATTGAGGCTGTTTCTCCCAGTCTTGACAACACATTCCTGGGACCAAAGAAGGAATCTGCTCCTATGAAATCTTCAGTGATATCCAGTGATACTCTGGCCTTGGACTGAGAGGCTGAACACCACAGCTGGTCTCTCTCATCCGTCACAAAAGTTTCACACTAACTATAGACCAATAATTCATATGAAGCCATAAAAATAATTAGCTCCAAGGGATCTTGAACAAAACAGTCACTCTAAAGTTAGCACTAGAACACCTTCTACATGTCACTCAAACATCAAATGGATAAGCACTTGGGGGGGGGGACAGCTCTCTGTCCAAAAATGTTCCCAAGAATAAGAAACGCTAAGATCTAAATAGGCTAGAATGTAACAGAAACCTAAGTGGTGGTGATCACCACTGACTGAATGGAATAAGTGCATTCAGGACAAATGGTGATAATCCAAAAACCTGATTGCTTAGAAGTTATCGCCCAGCAATCTCCATTTATATTGTCCAAATAGCAATCATAACAGATTAAATAATGCTGAAAAAATCAACTGAAATGTGACTGAGAGGGCTTTATTTCACATCTACAATGTGCATGCATGTCTCTCAGATCTGTGAGAAAGACCACGGCCCAGAGACACCCAAATAATAGCCAAGATTCCTTGTTACAGAGCTAAACTGTTAAGAAGGGTAAGTAGACAATAATATTCTTAAATTTAACCTACAGACTTGACTTCACAGTGCAGGCACACACACACACACACACACACACACAAAGGAAACATACCAGTTAAGTAAGATGCAAAACTGGCAATGCCACTATGTCCTTCCAACAGCCTGTCCTGACCCTTTTATTCTTTAAGCATAGTTAATTAAAATTTTTCCTCGGGCAGAATCCAACTGAGTTATGTGAACCAGTAAGGTGGTTAAAGGGACAAGATATGGCTGGATTTTGCAAAACAAGATAAAAGCCCGGAACATTGCAGGAATAGGAGAGCAGTGTCTGAGTAATACCTGGCATGGAAACACTCTGACAGAGGTCTTTTTAGTGATCACAGCAGGACCGCGTTTAACATTCTTTCCCACAATTTCTCTAAGCTGTTTGACTGGTAGCGGGCAGCATTGTTCTAGCCAAGTCCCTCGTGTTATACTGATGATAAAGAGTGGATTCAAGAGGGGGGAAAAATCATGCAGAAAATATTTTCCTCTGATTTAAGGATAGCATAAGAAAACTTTGGAAAATAAGTCTGCTAGGAATTCCTTTTTAAAACAAACATTTTTAATTAAAAAAACCATAATTAAGTTGAAACATCCTATACCTCTTCAAGGCTTTCCAGATCAGCCCCCAATAACAATCAGAAAAGAAGACTATGGGATTTTCATACAAAAAGCTACAAAGTCTGAGGGACCTCACAAATATGCTAGGCAAACCTATAGGAGGACCAATTCAATGGCAAAGACCACTTAAACCATATAAATAAACCTACACATTATTTTCATGTTGTTCTAATAGGTCTGTTTGGTGACAAACTGTGGTCAGGGAGCGCAAGGTTCTTGGTTCCACATGACTCTTGTTCACAAACAGGTGCTTTCAAGGGTAACAAGTTTGACTCATCAACCCTAGATATTATTGCCCTAGAAAAATTGAACTGAGAGCATGTTTCTGATTACCTTTTTCCTGACTTCTGTCAGTTTAAAACTGTGCTGACAGGATACATTCATAGTCAAGAAAATCAGAAGCACACCTTGAAGGTTGAAAGGTAAGATTTCTATTTAAGGACTCTTTCAAATTTGATTTGATTTCATATTGATAACCAGAGCGGCAGACCTGTTTTGTAAAACAAGTAGTCCAGAATCTTGTACAATATGTAGCAACATTAGAAAGCTTAAAATATGGCTGTTAGTGCTTTTACTAGAGAAAGCAACACCCTGTCAGCTTGTTACAGAAAAAAGAGAGCTGTGTTTTGAATTAAACCAGGAGTATAGCTCTGTAGCAAAGATACCTTGCTGCAGAGCCAGAGGTTGGGAGTGTTATTTCCTACTGTGCCTTTTGTGAGCACAGCCAGCCTGTGTGGCCTTGGGCCAGTTGCACAGTCCCAGGGTGGTGCTCCCTTCGGAAGAAGGGGTGGTAAACTGCCTCTGATGGTTCTTTATCTGGAAAACCATGAAAGGGGTCACCATAAGTCAGAATTGATTTAATGTACAGATTATTATTATCATATACACTGAATGATTCTTCGTAAAGCTCTGGAAAAACAACAGGCTTTTTCAAGCACTAGAATGAAACAAAGAGACAAGCACAGGGTTATATTCATCAGCTTACTAAAAATTGAAAAGCTGTATCTGAAAATAATAGCATTCACAGCTAAGAACCTGCCTCATCAGATCTATACTCAAAAAAATGCTGTACTCTCAAAACATTTGTCTGCCATGGTATCAGCAGTTAGTTTCTGTACTTGGGGGAAAAAGAGGGGGCTTACATCTAAAACTCTTTAGCTTAGAATTTATGATGGTTATTTTAGAAGCACTGTGAATAGTATGCAACTTCTCTGAATCCAGTTAAGGAATTATGAAGCCAGTTGTGAATGGAATACAGTGGTGCCTCGCATTACGATGTTAATTCATTCCAGCGAAATTGCTGTAGAAAGAAAACATCGTAAACTGATTTTTAAAAACCCACAGAAACGCATTAAACCCGATTAATGCATTCCTATGGGATTGAAACTCACTGTCCAGCGAAGATCCTCCATAGCGCGGCCATTTTCGCTGCCTGTGCAGCGAGGAATCCGTCCCAGAAAACAGCGGGCGGCCATTTTTTTACCCGGCGGCCATTTTGAAACCACCGATCAGCTGTGCGAAAATCTTCATTTTGCGATAATCGGTTAGCGAAGCAGGTAACCAACCCATCATCACAAAGCAAAAAAACCCCATAGGAAACATTGTTTTGCGATCGCAAAAACTTTGTGATGCAATTTCGTCGTTAAACGAAGCGTCGTCTTGCAAGGCACCACTGTAGTTTGTAGATACTCCCCAGTTCAATACCCCATGATCAGAAATTCAATACCATTGTAATGCAAATCAAGAAATGGAAAGGCTGCAATGGTGATAGCCTAGCATTTCTTCGTAGGCATCTAATTGCTTCCCTCCCCAACTCAAGCAAAAACATATTTGTGACAAGCTGCAATTTCTCTTACAAACTGGATCGATAACAGCAAGGAAGAAGAGACATCAAGAGAAGCTTAGGGTAGAATCTTGGAAAAAAGGAGAAAAGGAGCTGCAGGAAGAGGAGGTACGAAGCCAAAGTAGAGGCTTTGGTTTGGGAGTTGTGAGGAATCCCAGAGTTTGTACTGCACCTAAGATCATTATTTTTAAAGAGCCAATATCACCTACAGGTACCATCTTAAAAGTTATCTCCCCATTTTCTCACAAAGAGAAAAAAAACATATTGTGTCCAGTTCTGGGCACCCCAATTCAAAAAGGATGTTGACAACCTGGAACGTGTCCAGAGGAGGGTGACCAAAATGGTCAAAGGTCTGGAAGGCATGTCCTATGAAGAACGGCTTAGGGAGCTGGGAATGTTTAGCTTTACAAAAGGTTAAGAGTGGACATGATAGTCATGTTTAAATATTTGAAGGGATGTCATGTCGAGGAAGGGACATGTTTGTTTTCCATGGCTCCAGACTCTAGGACAAGGAGCAATGGTTTCAACCTACAGGAAAAGAGATTCCACCTGAATCTCAGGAAGAACTTCCTGACAGTCAGAGCTGGTCGGCAGTGGAACAGGCTGCCTCGGAGTGCAGTGGAGTCTCCTTCTTTGGAGGTTTTTAAGCAGAGTCTGGATGGCCATCTGTCGGGAGTGCTTTGATGGAGTTCCTGCACAGCAGGGGGTTGGACTGGATGGCCCCTCTGGTCTCTTCCAACTCTCTGATTCTATGATTTCTTCTAAGTTCATATGCAAAAAGTAAAAGTAAAAACAAAGAAAACATGCTTTTCTCCCACGTCCATATTGAATACAGTTGGCAAAAACTAGTATTTATCAATTAAGCCTGCTGGATAGCTCAGTGGTTTAGGTATCTGGCTGCGGAGTTGGGAATTCGATTCCCCAATGTGCCTTCTTAACAAGGGCTCACCTTGATGATCGACAGAGTCTCTTCCAGCTCTGAAGTTCTAACCTCTTTGGTTGCCAAAGGTACCATAAAACCGACACTGAGGACTCAATATAAAATGATAACCTATCACCTCAGCAGGGAGAAAAAATAATTAGAATTGTATGAGTATAGATCACACACACACACACACACACACACACACAAACACACACACACACATCTATACTATATCTTCTTTATTTGTATCCATATCTACATCTACATCTACATCTTTTTCTGATGGACCAAGGGGAGGACTGGTATGCTTAACTCTCTCTCTCTCTCTCTCTCTGTGCATGTGTGTGCGTGTGTGTGTGAGAGAGAGGAGAGAGAGAGAGAGTAAGAGAGAGAAAGAAAGAAAAAGAGAAAGAGGAATCTTGGCCTTTTCATTTTATCAGAGCTCTGAAATAGACATTTCTACATGTCATCAAAAGTTAAGTGGGTAGTAAAAGTCTCTAAACTCAGATCTAACTTTTCCCCATCTGTTTAGTATGAAGAAATGTTCCTTTCCATGGAAGGTTAAAAAAAAAAAGAGAGAGAGAGAGAGACACTTGCCATACACGGTAGTCCTACAAGTTAAATAGGAAGGCACTAATGTCCTTGTCCGTTTCAAGACAGAACTGCTGAGCCACTAAAAAAATCCAGATGTGTTTGAAGAAGATAAAGATGAAGATGCGATAACACATTATCTGCACAGCACGTACCGTCTGCAGAGACCAGTTTCCAAAGAACATCATGCTTGAAGGTAACTTTGAAACAGAATTCTATGTCGGCCACATTCTCATAGTTTCATACAAGTACTTTGGAAAGATTCCTCAAATACGCTCGGAATGTATTCTGCCAGGCAAGGAGCAAAAAGCCAAGCATTTATTGTTGATTTAAAAAGTCAGTTAAGTCAGCTAAGAAACAAGCCAATTAGTGACAAACTCCTGGACTGCTTAACTGATTTATTTAACAGACTGGAATTCATTAGAAAACTACACTTCCTTCTTGACAAGATGTGATGGCAAGCCAAGAACCTGTAATAGGATTCTGGACTGTTCCTCCTCCTGGCTCACTGGGAGGAGGGCTGAAAAGTGCTTGAGCAGGGCCCTTTCGGTGCATTCCAATTTGCTACTTCATGCAGCTTTGAACTTTGGTTTCCCCTTCTATGGGAACACCATCCCCATAAGATTAGGAGTGCATGCAGAATTTCAGGGATTTTAGTCCCCAGCATCTTCAGGTAAGGCTATAAAATCTCCATTCTGAAACTTTGAAGAGCAGCAGCCAGTTGCATGAGGCAACTTTGTGTTTTTACTTCTGCCATAATTACCTATGTCATGGTGGGTGGAACTGAAGTTCTGGACAACAGATTTCAAGATGGGAAAACTGTTTTCTACCATTCTGTGCTGATTAGAGCATTCTGTGTGAAAGGTTTACGCATTGGGCAGCTTTATATAGCACCTAAAAATAATGGCATTAAACAAATTTGACTTCAAGCATCCCTTTTATCAAATTATTTTGAATGTTATGTCTGCTTTTTAATTTTGAAATAAGTTTGCCGACAGCATTTAAGACTGAAAAACACAAGTACAAAAACTCTCCTTGGACAAGGATCCAACCGCTTAAAGCAAGGGTCCCCAACCCCTGGTCCGTGCCCCTGTGCTGGTCTGTGGCCATGACAGGACCGGGCCACAGAGACAGCTCTCCCGCTTCCTCCCCCGGACACACTCCTCCCCACACCTCCCGCACGCATGGCCTGCCACCTGCATGCATGGGTGCCCTGTCCACCTGCGAGCATGCCTCGCCCTCTGCACACGTGTACGACCGTGCACCTCCCCTCCGCACATGCACACGAGTGTGCCCTGCCCCTCTGCACATGTGTGCAAGCACACTCCTCCCCTCCGCGAGCACACCCCACCATCCGTAAATGTGCGTGAGTGTGCCCTGCCCATCTGCGAGCGCACCCCTACCCTCCGCGAACACACCCTGCCAACTCGCAAGTGCGGGGAGGTGTCCCTGTGCACGGACCTGGCCCCCCCAACCAGTCTGTGCTTCAGAAAAGATTGGGGACCACTAACCTAAAGTATAAATGTTTGTTTGTTATGTACCATTAAGTTGCATTTGAGTTATCCTGACTCTAGTAGGGTTTCCAAAGTTAAATGAGAGATTTAAGGCGTGGTTTCTATCTGCTCCACCTCACTTGAGTTAATCTGTATGTCTGAATGTGGATTCAAACAGCTCTCCTGTCCTTGCTCTTCCCTCTATCCACTATACCAGAATGGTTATCAAAATATATGAAAGGAACACCATTTCTTGGAGAGACATTTAGAGTTAATTCCAGACATTTCAAGGACATCATACAATATTTTAACTTTGAATGTCATTTCAGCAACCAGTTCACGCCTCTGGTACAAGAGAACTCTCTCTCTCTGCTCAACAGTCTGTTAGGTAGGAGGGGAAAAGAAAAGCAGAGGAAGTAGGAGAAAAGAAAAGGTAGGGGAAAGAAAGAGGAAAAGGATGCCCTCTTGTACTTTTAGCTCTAGCTGCACTCACCATTGGCATACAACTCACAATAAATTAGAGCTGATAAGAAAAGGTTCCCTGACTTTGATTTAAATCTCTCATTAACAATCTAATGTTTTCTTTCAATTATCTCCCTATATGCTGTATTATAAAATAATGCTAGCAATCTCAGCTGTAGACAAGACCACAATCAAGTATCTGCCCTGCTCTATTCATTATCAGGATCTAATAATCTGTGTCCTTTTCATATATGGACACGTTCTTAAGACCAGTTTACCCCTTGGTGATCTTACAACCTTCAAAAGTGTATTCCTGAATATTACCATTTGCAAGGCCAAAGCAAAACACAGGCATATGCTTTCGCTGTGGCAGAGAAAACACTTAGACTTTATCCACAACAGTAGGTAGAAGAGTGCTACATAGCAAAACACAACACACATACGAAAAGGTTAGATGCCTTTGGTTTTGTCTATTAAAGCCTTTTTAGCAACCATAAATTATGTCAATAGGCCTGCTTACCCCTATAATAAAGGTATATAACTACCAAGTGGAAACACAGTTGGTTTCTAAACACCCGCTATGATTATTAGCAGCAGTGGCAGTACATTTGCAAACAGATTCTCTCCCCCACCCCCAACACTAAATCCAACCTTTCTTTCTGATTGCTCAGCTAGGCACAGGCTTCCTCACCAGCTTAGTGAAATAATGTTAAACCATCTGGTATGCTTAAAGTAGGCAGAAGCTTCTAAAGCAATTAGGGCCATGTAGCAGTCTACTAATCTAATGGCTCAGTGGTACTGTGACCCAGCACAGCTGATCCACAGTTGACTCATTATGGCAATTTCCAAATTCCTAGAATGGCTCAGGCCACAACTCCAATTCGACAGTGGTGAGCGAATCTGACAGCTTTTTTTCTTGCTGCCCATACAGCTCTTCAGAAAATCCAAAAGGGTTACTGCTTTTGATTTTGGGTGCTGTGTGAAGTGAGAAAATGTTTTAAGTCCCCATATATATCAGTCTTTGCAAGCCATACTGGACATTTTTCATTGAAGGAGGCATTCAACTTTTATTAATAAATCCTTAAATATTGGTGTAATCGCCTTTTTCCTTTGCCAGGCACATTCCAACACTCACCTGACATTCTACATTGCAGTAAAAAGCCTGCTTACATCTTCCACACCTTGACAGTCCTTCTTTCCTGAAAAAGAAATAAACAATCATTTGCCATGATTTTTTGGACAAGAAATAACAAAAAGAAGAAATGCAATATATATATAAAGTAGGGTAGCAACTTGTTCACCCTCCTGAGATGTTTGTTGTTTAGTCATTTAGTCGTGTCTGACTCTTCGTGACCCCATGGACCAGAGCATGCCAGGCCCTCCTGTCTTCCACTGCCTCCCGGAGTTGGGTCAAATTCATGTTGGTAGCTTCGATTACACTGTCCAACCATCTCATCCTCTGTCATCCCCTTCTCCTCTTGCCTTCACAAGATGTTGCTCAGCTGTAATTCCAGTAACCTTCAGTGATGTTTTTCTTTGCTAGGGCTGACGGGACTTGTAGTCCCATCATTAACCTCTAAAGCCTACTCTTGACAATGAAGGATCATCATAGCTATTCCTGAAACAAGCATACATTATTTAAAGTAAAGATGTGCACCTTTGTGTCTCTGGACTACAACTCTCAGAAATCTCCAACAACATGGCTAGTGACTGTGCTGCCTGGGGAATTCTGGGAGTTACAGTTCAAAAACATACATATGCACACCCCTAATTTAAGGTATGAGAAGAAGCACTTTCCCCAATAGATCAGCCTTCACTGAAAGGTTATTTTCCTGTTAAACTACAACTTTCATCAGTTCTATTGCATTGAGGCCAAAGCTGGTTGAGTTGTAGTTTAACACAACCAGAAACTACCAGGTTGGGGAAGGCTGCTATAAGTCTCCACTGACTTCTTCCCACTGCCCTCTGTTTGTCACTTTCAGTGGCATCTCCAGAGCATAGTTCTGCTGCCCACGATAGCCACCACAGGTACACAGCCTGTCTTCAAGACCTTATTAGAAATTTCCATGTGACTATGGAGGAAGAATCCCTGGCAAGACCCAAAGATTATAAAGCTGCTGCTGGCATAAGCAAGACTTGCAAGTTTGCAATTTAGAGATTTTTAGCGACTGCAATAGTGAATTATGAGGCAAGTGTGGCTTCTTTTTACATACAAGAATGCAAGAAGAATGTTGGACCAGACCAAGAATGTCTATATGAAGAAAGTGGAATCAAAATTCTATTTCTCCAATTCAAGATGATTCCATAAAGTCTATCTATAAAGACCCCTGATAGAGGCTTGCAAAAGACCCCTAATAGAGGCTTGCAAAGCTTGGAAAATTCACTTTTCTGTGATATGACCCCCAAAATTCTCGACAACAGTTGAGGAATTGCTTGAGTTGTAGTCCACATTTCTGATTGTTTATAACTTGTATTCAAACAAGTTATAAATGTATCCAAATAAAATGTTATTTGGAATGGGCAGAAACCTCTTGTGCCAAGTGCCTTTATGTTGGCACAAATTCCTTTGTGCCAGTACAATCCCCTCTTACAGAGTGAGCTCAGATCTACCAAAACAACTGAATCTCTTGGTTGAGTTTCTGGGCTGGCTGACATCAGCTGACAGAACAGCCAAAGAATGAATGGAGAAGGAGAGGAGTCAGAAAAGGGCTGAGTTACACCAGATCCTAATCAACCTCAGCCCTGATTCCCAGTCAGTATGACAGTACAACATTGGCCAGGGTCAGAGAAATTGTAACTAATTTCCAGCATGGTGTCAACTCATCTTGGCTAATTAGGACTGCACCCTAACACAGGGTCCCTGGTCTGCGGCCTGGTGCCGGTCCATAGCCTGGGCCAAGGAGACAGATCTCCCCCTCGCACACACTCCCCCCCGCACAGCCCCTTTGTGCTTGCGTGAGTGCCCCCCTGAGTGCCCCTCCACCCTTCGTGCATGTGCACGAGTTCAGGGGGGTGCCCCGCCTTCCCCAACCGATCCACAGTGTTAAAAAAGTTGGAAACCACAGCCCTAAGATGCTCAGTTGGGAAGTAGCTATAAACTGCTGGTTTAATCCTGGTTTAGCATCTCACGTGTTAACTTAAACTTTGGTTTGCAGAAAACAGTTTCTCACATTGAAGTAAAATGCAAAATCATGGCCTAAAATAAATCAGGACCTTTAATTTTTCCTTCGTCGTGTCAGAAGGGAAGGCAAGGACGCTTACACAAAAGTTGTATGACATTATATTATAACTAAGCTGGCTGGATAGCTCGGTGATTTAGGGATCTGGTTGAGGTTGGAAGTTCAATTCCCCACTGTACCTCTTGAGAAGTAGAGCGAGCCTGTATAGCCTTGGGCAAACTGCACAATCCCAGGGTGCCTCCAGAAGAAGGGAATGGTAACCCACTTCTGGATTATCTACCTGGAAAACCCCGAAAAGAGTCACTTTGATTCAGAATTGACTTGGCATTACTGTACATGATTATGATTATACTAGTAGTTTGCTGTTGTATTCGAATTAAGTGAAGGTGTTTAGTCAGGGTGTTAAATCACCATCAACAATACAGTCTTTCCTAATTAAATGTGCCAAATTCTACAGGGGGTGGTGGCTCAATGTGTATGTATTGCCCACAAGACATATAAAATGGTTCAACACATCAACCCTTACTATACAACAGGAGTAACTGTAAAATTATCACTAGAGTTTACAGTATCATTTTAAGAGTACTCTGGCCAGTGTATTCAACTAGTTTAATATAAACAAGGATACAATTTAACACTCAGTGAAATACACTGATTTCCTAAGAAGCTGAAACACTTTTTCCTCTGTGTCTATTTAATTCAAAAGAATGTCTTTACAAAAGAATAAATAAACCCAACTTCTGAAGTCTAAATGTTGTAAAAGGTTATCTATGATGGAGAGTATCTTCACAGTCCTCTTTCAAAGCATAGTTTGCTACAACAGAATGAATCCTGAAGCATTTTTTTCATAAACTCTTTCTCCCTTTGAGACACGTCTGGACAGTGAAAAAGTACACAGGCTCAGCTGTGAAAGCACATGGCATTGCAGCAAAGCTACTGTGCTGTGCAGAACATCCATGCCGCAACATATTACATCTGAATGAGAGCATTGGCCTTATGCCATACTTTCTGCAAGATGCATTTACAATACTACTGGACTCCACCTCTCTCCAGAAGTAACTCAGTGCTAGACTTACAATTTTGTCATTAAACTGCATCCAGATTATGAATAAGACTAGCACTACGAGTCTGCCTTAAAATTAATCGTTGATCACATTCTTGGATTTTACAAAATAACACCTTTTCACTTCTGAGTAAATGAAAAGGAGATGGACAATCAAGAGAGGCAAACTCCAAACCTAGTTTGCTAGCCCTATAGCTGGCAGGTGAAACTATGATATCATTTTGCAATTACTTTATTGTTAACATAAATCAATGTGACATCTAAATTAAGCCTAAATTCCTGAATCTGACCAGGTCATGTTTATTGGCCAAACAAGTATTCAATTATTCAAAGCTCTGCCTCCTCCAGCAGGTGTCCACTCAAGAGGCAGCAGCACCCAGAGGAGGCAGGGCAGGGAAGCCAGGTCCATTTCTAATAGAGAGTGAGTGTTTCTAAGGCAGCAATGCTCCATTATGAGGCCAACAATTTTTCCCAGAATGATGGATAAATGCTAAAAGCTGGGAGCCTTGGTGGGCCACACAATTCCTAGCTCTGGTATATCTCCAGAACAAGTTATCTCAGGGAGTCTCTGTATCATACACTCTCTACAGGCGTACCTCAGTTTACAAAATTAATTCATTCTACGTGACGCTATGTAATGCAGAAATTTCATAAATTGAAACACCAATTGTGCTAGGAAAAGGGCGGCACTATAGGCACAATGCACCCTGGGGAAACCCTTTCGTACTGCAGAAAAAAAGCGTAAACCGAAGCATTATTTTCTATGGATTTCGGTTCATAAACTGAGAACTACGTAGACTGAGGCATTCACAAACTGAGGTACCACTGCACTTATTCTTCCACAAGGCTACTCTACCTATGCAAGGCCACAAGGAGTCTGAAAATATTTGTTTCCATTTAGTGTTCATCACAGTTTGCTTGGTGAACAGAAACAAACCAGTCTCAACCAGTTTACACAGTTGGTGTTTCCATTTCTTATTATCCACAGCATAGATTTCAGACACATTCAATTACAGCACCTCTAAACTTACTTACTTGCTTACTTACTTACTTACTTACTTTATTTATTTATTTATATTTTATTTTATTTAACCTCACGGTGGTTTACATAATTAAAAGTCAATATTTCAAAGTAAAAAAAAGAGTAACTATATAAATAATTTAAAAGAATTTAAAAAATACTCCACTAAAAATGGAAAACAAGATCAGCACAATACTCCATTTAAAAACCCTTCCAAACAGCCAGTCACTAAGGGAAAGCCTGTCTGAAAAGAAAGGTGTTCACCTGCTTACAGAAAAACAGCAAAGATGGAGGCAGACTGGCCTCCTGAGGGAGGGAGTTCCAGAGTCTGGGAGCAGGGGCAAGGGTGGCCCTCTCCTGTGTCTCCATCAAGTGCAGCTGTGAAGGCAGTGGGATCAAGAGAAAGTCCCCTGCTGGCGATCTTAACACTCGGGTGGGCTCATTAAGAGAGATGCTCTATATGATAAACTTAAGTAAAATTCCGGGTAGGCTCATTAAGAGAGACGCTCTATATGATAAACTTAAGTAAAATTCCCAAAGTATTTTTGTATGAATTACAAGAACTGAATGTGCTTATTTTCATCTTCATTTCTCATTTCCATTTTCTTGTTTCTTAAACTATCAGGCCGAAGGAAAGTCCTACGATATTTCAATTTTTGAAACGAGGTATCCATGTTAGAATGTCCTTATCATCTCCCCATGACCACTGATCATCATAATGCTGATGCTATTTCTATTCCCCCAGTATATGATTAAATATCTGCCAAAAGGGGCAATACTTTTTGAGGTAATCTAATTCTTAATTCCAGCTAATGTAAACAGTGAAATTTTGGTGCTTTCATAAAGTCAGCAATGTTGCTCTGCTTCAAAAACAACAGAAAGAAAGAACTGCAGTACCACTGAGACTATCAAATTTCTTCCATCTAAACTTTTGTGGATTACAGTCCACTTCTTCAGTTACATCTGAAGAAACTGTAATCTAAAAAAGGTCACTATTCCACTGTAATAAATTATTTGTCTTAAAAATGCTGTCATACCTTTGCTTCTGTTTGTTTTCTTCTTTTAAATGTTCATTTAACAATTCACCTATATTCAATGATCTACTCCAGCCGGATTTAGCCCAACACATCTCCTGCCCATGAAATTTCATATTGAATAAAACCAGTAAGCCTTGAAGATGCCACAAGACTATTTGTGGTTTTTGATAATCCTCCTAGTGTGAAAAATCTACCAATATCTCAAGGTGCTCATCTCTGTTTCCAACCCACAGAGCCAGGATTTGTCCGAAGACAATCTTCCGTGGTCATGTGGCCAGCGTGACTAGACACAGAACGCCGTTACCTTCCCACCATGGTGGTACCTATTTATCTACTCGCATTTTTGCATTTTGCATGCTTTCTAACTGCTAGGTTGGCGGGAGCTGAGACAAGTGATAGGGGCTCACTCCGTTGCGTGGATTCGATCTTATGACTCCAGGTCTTCTGACCTTGCAGCACAGAGGCTTCTGCGGTTTAACCCGCAGCGCCACCATGTCCCTATCTTAACAAGACTACTGACACAGAAATCAGGGTGGTTTTTTGTATGTGAATTCCAGCTTTTGATTAAACAATAAACAAAAGAGAATATACGCCTAGTTCTTCAGGGTTATGGTAGAAAGCATGTGGGCAATTCCTGGTAAAATCCCAGAAGTCAGAGAAATTTCTGGACAAAACTTGCAATGATGCTTAAGTATGTTTGTCTTTGTCACAGTTAGCAAAATCAGAGTAAGTTGCATGAAGTAACAAAAAAGGCACAATTATGTATTGTAATTTATAGAGATAATAGAATCTAGCTTTTCTTGGCACCGGATTTAGGTTGCCTACGGTCTGTTTTTCTCCCCAATGTATCTCTCTCTTTAACCGTCAAAAGAAATGAATCTCTAACTAGAACATGATATCTATTACCTTGGCCTCTACAAACTAAGTTTTATAAAACCATTCCAGCACTGTCCAGGACATTAAAAAAATTACACGTCCTCAAGACATACATGGCTGTTTCCAAGTTACTCTTATTATACCAACTACCACAGATACAGAGGTTTTGGAGAGTAACTGTGCCAAGACGTGCTCGCAGAAAACTATACACTGCTGTTCTAAATACAATGCAGCCTCCACGCATGATGCCAATTAGAGAGAGCCCTTTCAAAATTGTGGCATCCTTCCAGCACAGTTATAAACTGTAGGAAAAGACTTTGCTGGCCAGAGTGTTGCAGTCACTGGATTATAGCGTAAACATACATGGTCCTCCTCCAGATTTTTATCCTTGCAACTTGATCTAGCTTTGGCTGACAGACAGGACAACTGGGTTCAAATCCCTCGGTGACTGTGCGGCAGTCATTGTTTCTCAACCTGATCTACCTCACAAGGTTGCAGGGCAGATGTTAAGTGGAGAGGATCACGATCCAGCAGCTTCTTGAAGCAAACTAACCGCCCTCACTGAGATTTGACATACACAGAGAGACTGAATGTCTTGAAGGAAATGCAGTCCATCAAAGTTCAGTATGCAGAAGACCTGCAGGATAGCTCAATGGTTTAGGTCTCTGCCTGTGGAGCTAGAGGTTGGGAGTTTGATTCCCCACTGTGCCTTCTAGAAATATGCTGGACTACTGGGTTGTTCCAGCTCCACAGTTCTAAGATTATGATGATGATGAAGAAGTGCAAATTTGCCTGCCAAGGGTCTAGCTTTCTAAAAAGAGACATATCAGGGATTGATGTTGAATTAGTGCTTTAAATGCCAGATGTGTAGATCTTGGTGAATTGAACAATATTCTGCACATGCTCAAAGGAACAATTCCCAATCCATGAATGAACAACTGCAACGAAAATAAGGTTCCACAACTACATTTGTTAAGTCCCAGTTTAAATTAAACTAGGTATGAACATCTTGTAGCTTTATGGGTTGTTGCTGAACTGCAGGTCCTATCATCCTTCACTACCAGCAACATACCCTAAGGCTCATAGAAATTGCAGTGAAACAACATCGGGGAAGACGACCGGATAAAGCATCCCATCCCTTCTCAAATAATGAGTCTCAGTGCGACCTCAGAGCTGGGGAAACGTTCCTTTTTTTGGACTACAAGTCCCAGCAGACTAGCTGGAGGGGTTCTGGGAGCTGTAGTCCAAGAAAAGGGGAAAGATCCCAAGCTTTTACTCGGCTTGAAGACAGTCCAAATGGCCAGGGCGCAAGATCCAGCCCTGGCCTAGCTAGGTCGCGCCCCCCTCCCAGGAGCCTCCCTCCCCTCGCGCCCCCCGGGCCTTCCTCGGAGGGAGGCGCCGCTCGACCCCGTCGGTGCTAGGACCCGCAGGGAATCCGCCGAGCCGAGAGCCGGCCCCCCTCGCCGGTGCTCGGCCTCTTCTCCTCCCTGCTTCCGCCGTACCTGGCGAAGCAGCGCTCGCAATGGTTGCCTCTCTCGTTGACGGTCAGCACGCAAGCGTAGGCCGGGCAAGAGAAGAGCAGCTCGCCGACGGCGAAGCGACGGAGCGCCCTCAGCCCCCGGCCCTTGCCCGGGCTCTGGAACCTCTCCAGCCCCTCCGGCAGGGGGCCGGCCCCCTCCGAGGAGGAGGAAGAGG